TGATAATTATAAATTAATTTAGTTCAATTTCAAATTGATTACAGAATGTAGGATTTTGTGGTAATAAAATGTTGAAACGACATTGTGTGGCTCTTTTAGTAGATTCTAAGATTTTAAGTTGGTACAAGTAAGCCTGGTGGTCAGACAAGCTCATATGTTGAATTTCTAATTTCTCGATTAAAGAAAATAGAGTTGTATATAATAGTACGAAATCGATTCGTGAGAATGTTTTATGCCTGTTTGAATAGAAAGTTTACTATTTTGCTTTACCATTATGTGCTCGCCAGGCATCAATGAGGTTGTAATCAGAGAGTATATAATGGAGAGCCTTGGTTTTGTGTGGATTGTAGTTGGTTTTATTAGATTTGTCTCGCATGTCCAAAATGGCATTCATGTCTGTTCCAATAACCAGATGGAATTCAGTTAATTCTAACAATATGCTGTTTAGAGAATAAAAAAAAAGTAGGATCATATGAATTTATAGCGTACACATTAATATAGGCTATTTTCTTTCCATTATGGATACATTTAAGGAAAGTGATTCAGCTTCTTGGTCTTCGCCTTTACCCAAGATGGTGATTTTAAGTATCTTATGTATCATTATGATTACACCTTTAGTTTTATTTGGGGCTGATGAAAAAGCAGCCAGTTGGTACAAATGGTTCTGCATTCTATGAGTCCTTATGGAGCAGGTATATCAATATGGTTTCTTGCTAGGATATCAAGACAGCTGGAACGTTTGCTAGGAAAATGTAGGCCTTTCAAATTCCAAGAGAGAATAGCTAGCGTTGCCATTGTTTTTCAGAAAGGAATGTTATATTAATTATATAATTTGTATCTTTTGTGTTGATACAATAAGCCCATGGATGTGTAACAAAAAGCAGGACTCACAGGGAAACTCATCCATTGGCCATTCCCCACCCAGAAAACCCTCCCTGTAAACCTTTCCCCTCCTCCCTCCCCTTCCCTGCCCTCCAGTCCCTATATAACCAATTAGATCCCATTAACCTCCTACTGTATTTTTCAACATTTCTGATTAGTCAGGAGACAATACAAACAGAAAATCAAATTAATTACTATTTATAACTTGTCAGAAATGTCCAGATCAACTAGCCCATGTCAGTAAATTTTTTTAGCTAGTTTTTTTGCCCATTGATTTTGTTGTAATGTTTGAGCTTTAAAAATGGCAAAAAAAGTGTATCTCCGCCAACAAGAGGGGTGTGAACTGTTTGTGTCATGGACAGTGCATGGACAGTGCTTATGCCCATAGAAATAGACGTGGTGGGGGTGGGGGCACGGGATGTTCCCCAATGATGCAAGGGGGGCCTGAGTGAAAAAGTTTAGGAACCATTGCTTTATGGTACCTGCCCTGCACCCCTTATTTCTCAGAAGTAGTACCTACAAGTCACCCCACTTGTATCAGCCAAACACAGTTGGCTATTCCTCATGCACCTCACTGAACCCTGCGCCTGCCATCAGAGTGAGATCGCCATAGTCAGAAGTGTTTCCTTTATTTTAGCAGTTATCTGTAGAATGGAGGGAGGGGTATCGCTCAAGTCGCAACAAAATGGAATATAATGTTCCTGATACCTTTGGGTTACTGGCCCAACACTCTAACCACTAGGCTACCTGCCATACACATTCTTTCACTGATTTACCCGATAACCACTGCTCTCATAAGCACTCATAGGGTTGCAAAGGGAGGGTATATTACTGGTAACTTTCTAAGTTTACCAGTAAACTATGCTTGACTTGGACTAAAATAGGTTCCAGCACTCATTTTGGTTTTTGAGCTAATATTTTGAGAGGAAGAGGAACTCAAGCTGTAGAACATTTGAGGTGCCAGTACTCAGCTCCTCTGAGCTCCTGCCCAAGTCAAGCATTGTTCAACTACCAGAATTTGGGTAAATTACATAAAATCCTTGAAAGTTATCACATGACATCTAGTGGCCTTTTTGGGTACTTCAGATTATCATGTGTCTATAATTATCTCCGGCCACCTGTGTCACACCCTGATCTGTTTTACCTGTCTTGTGATTGTCTCAAACCCCCACCAGGTGTCTCCCATTACCTCATGTGTATTTATACCTGCGTTTTCCGTCAAGTCCTACCAGCGTGTTCGCATGCTCTAGTTTTTGCTTTTCCAGTCTTCCCAGTTCTGACCTTTCTGCCTGTCCTGACCCTGATCCTGCCTGCCGTCCTGTACCTGCATGACTCTGATTTGGATTACGACTCTTTGCCTGTCTTGACCTACCAATTGCCTGCCCCTTGTACTGTAATAAACTGTGAGACTCGTACTATCCGCCTCCTGTGTCTGCATCTGGGTCTTAGCCTGAGCCGTGATACCCTGTGTTACCTTATCACATGTAAAAAAATATATATAGCCTATACAAAAATATGATAAAAAAAAATACAAAAATAGAATAACAAAACATTATCCTAAATATAACTCATCAACTTAGTGAATACCATTGGTATTTAATATGAGGGTTTCAGCATGAAATATCTTTTTATTTTTACCCACTTATTTATTTGACTAGCTATGTTAAAATGTCTTTGTTGTAAATATTTTGGCGCCAAACTGGTGGCACTTGTGAAATAAGTCAATAGTTGGAAGAGTTGGAGTGAATAGAAAATAATGCCATTGTTGATTAGATGCTTTTTTCCCATTAATTAGGCTATTTTCTCTTTAACTATATGGTCTATCCAATAGAAACTCATGGACAATATGGATATACAAAATTAATACTTTATATGACAAATGTAGTTATTCAAGTATAAAACAAGTTATTCAAGTATAAATTACCAAAGTTACCATAGATAAACTGTTAATTACCTAAGTTACTGTCAAGTGAAAATGACATGCTGTAGATGTACTGATAAATGTAACATTGTGCACATCTAGGTATTTAATAAAATATAATAATAATAATAATAATATGCCATTTAGCAGACGCTTTTATCCAAAGCGACTTACAGTCATGCGTGCATAAATATTACATATAAGGCCCAGAATTCTTTCTGACCATGACCCAGCATGGCCAGGAACAACTCTGAGACGGAGACCTACTAATAAGTAGGCTATACCTATAGGGCCTGGAGTTTTTCTCATCAAAAAATACAATACCTAGAGTGAAAATGTATGCATTTTGACATGAACTGCAGCTTAGCTGATCATATTTAATAATGATGTTTAATGGTCCACATTATTGCGTTGTATTACTCTGAAAATGATTAGTTTCTCCTAAACAAGGGAAATCAGCAGTACTCATGTCCAAATATAGTTTATGTCCATGCCATCTCATCCATCTAGATGTATATGACAACGCTCATCTTTCCCATGTGCTAAAGCTGTACATTATCATATCACCTCTAAGACAGTGATTTTTCAGAAAGATTAATATACAGTAATGTAACACCAGTACATATACATTATATACAATAATAATGATCTAGGCTCTAAGCAGAACCACAGAGGAAAGTGGGAGAGGGAATGAAAAAAAACATCCACGATGAATAGATATATTATGTTGAAAACAGTTGAAAACATATGTAGGTTCATCTTCATTTTAGTTAAACATCTCAAGGTATAGTAATGTAGGATTGTAAAAGTAGCCTATACAATTTCTCATAAGATTAGCGTTTGTTTTTTTAACCGGCCAACTGAATAAACAAGAAAAGCATTCACAGTAAGATTCAATGACTTAAGAAGAAAACTCCTATTATTAGGCTAGTCCTTTTGTAACAAGTGAGCAGCGCATCATCGCAAATGTAGGCTGCTAGGAGAGGGATATTACGCGTGCATATTTGGGGAACAGGTTGGCCAACCGTGCGCGCAGTGCCATTATAAAACATTTGAAGAGCTCCATGCGCAACAGACCGTGCGGAGGTATTCTGATATCAGCACAGCAGACGTAGCGCCTTGGCTCACTCAGGGATATTGTGGATATTATACTCGGAGGAACATCGGTTAGGGGAGCATGACAACCGGGGCCATTCGGGATGCAGCGGACCGGGAGAAGCCCGCTCTCAGTCAAGCGGGTAGGCTATAGAGTTCAATTATGATTCAATGCGTTCAATGCGTGTTTTTTCAGTTGCTTAGCCTATACTGCGAATTAGTGTAAGCTACTGTATTTGAATTAGGCCTACTGTTTTACCATATTATGCTTTGTAAATTATGACAGCAACAATTAAATAGCTTAGTTGAAAGGATTTCGTTTTGGTCAAGGAAAAGTGATTTCTGTCTGTATGTGATTTTTGTCTGTATACATGAAAACTATGTAAGTTATATGCTTATTTAACAAATGATTTGTGCAGCATTTTGACATAGCCTATAATCCCCAAAGTAGTTTGCCTAATCATTAATCAAAGAAAGAAATATATGACATTTATTTGCAGGTTTAACTGTCGTTTTTAAGATTTACTTTGATTTTCTGCATTTGACTTTATTGTAATTTGAGACCTGCCAATGGAAAGAACGCTGACTGACGTGTATGTATTGATCTTGATGGGAGATTTTTACATGCACTGATCACAAATTAGAATTCAGCCCATTGTGGTTATTATACTGGCTAATTATCAATTTGGAGACTTGGTAGAGCTGTTTTGCATATGTGGAGTTATTCTCTGTCTGAGGGTTTTTAATATGTATTCTCTATACTGTCCTTTCAGTATGACAGTCTGCACAATAAATTAGGCCTAACACATCTTACATGTTATTATTACCATCATGTTACTAATCCTTATTATTTAGAAAATAGTCAATCATGGACTGGAGCCAATCTGCTCCCTCTCTGTGCCAGAGTTCTCAGTATAAACATGTAACTTTTTATTTAGTTTTTATCATAAATGGTCCCAGCCAACATTTCCATGTGGGGCCTATATGGGTTACAGGCCCCATGAGGGAAACCCAACAGGAACCCAAAAAGTTTTGTCCTCAGTGTCCACGTTGGCTCCACATGTGGGTATGAAGCCCAACATGAGCCCACATAAAGCCCAACATGGCAACCACATGTGGGGCCAATGTGGGTACTGAGGACAAAACTTTGTGGGCCCCTTCTGGTTATCCTACTGGGGCCCCAAGTGTTAACCCTTCTTTAACCCACCTGGGCTAGGTATACGTTGTACAGTGAAATAGTATTGTGACTGATTATGCATCTGTGGGTTCAGAACTGATGAAGAGGAGGAACAGGATGGCGATATGGCTGGTACTGGGCATGCTCTGTCTGTCCCTAGTCCTGGTCATTCTGGGGATCTACACCACCACTCGCACAGAGAGCCTCAGCATCACCGGATACGCCTCTGGAGTCATTGTAAGTACATCTTCATTATCATCATCATCACCATCATCATTATCATCATTATGTTCATCTGCCATTTTGGTGAAAATGACTCACTATACATATAATTTAACTTTTAACAACAACCACATTTTCTCTAATTTTGTCTCTTTTTGTCATAAAAAAACAACACAGACCTTAAGAATAAAGTGGTTGTAATGCCAAGGATGCAGGTCTTCAGAAATTATTGACAGATGGGGAAACTGTGGTTTGTGAGTCATTGTCCGCAAAACAAGATGTCTTCCAAATCATGACAATTAAAATCTCATAAATGTCGTGAGAGCTGTCATCATTCGTGTTGTTGAACAAACCCTCATCTTATTATAGCACATGACAGACAAACAACGTATATTTCGGCTGTTATTCACATCAAAGCCAGTAAATCTTTCCAGTATATTTTATATACATTTGAAGACTGATAATTTCTAAGTGTATAATCTCAGTTAACCCAGAACTAAAGTATTGTGTAATTGGTCAGCTGCTCGATTAAGTTATGGGTCCATATGTGTTAAAAGATTGGATCAAGAGATGCTAGAACTAGGTGCTTAACCTTCTCTCTTTGCAAGTTACAGGCCGAATGTCCCCTTCGGAAATTCAAAATATGCTAACAACTGCGAAATTGTCATTTGTCCATATAACCAGTGACGAAAAACCCAAACACCGGAACTACTGCTGCTCGCTATCCCACACATCCCATTCCTTTCCGAGAGTTCTACAGTGTCAGATATGTTTACGTAGATCTGTCCACAACAGATTACTCAGTGTAAGATAGAGAATATTGAATAAAAGTTAGATTCTGTTTTGTAGTGGCATTATAGAGTTGGAAAGAGAGTCCACGCTTCTGTGACATCATGGGAAGCGCTATTGGTTGTTATCCGTTTTTAAAGTAGTTAATATCTTATTCTCAACCAATAGGAAGTCCCACCCAGTTGATTACTTGAAAACTGTGAAAATCTCCAATGGCGCTGCCAATGCTAAAACAGGCTTTGTGGCAAGTTTGCCCTCTATCCATCTCTATGAGTGGTATTATTAGATTGACATGGATAAGACACAGCCATGTTGTTAACAGGTGCATTTTCTATTATGTCCACGTTTTAAACCTTAGCATTTCTTCTGCTGGATCACCGCAACTCGATTCTGATTTGGGAGTAACATTAGTGGAGTGATTCAACTGCACAGTTCATTGACGCTTCCAATGCTGTTGTAGTAGTAGTCCGCCAGGGAATAATCTTTGCATAACAATAACATCAGTGAACGGAGCTGTTATTTATCCCTTGACTTTACATGACTTTTAATAGTGCGTAAAGTTCTCTACAGTAAGAGCCAACTGCTGGTATCGCTCTAACAGTGGCTGTTCTATTTTATCTCTGCAGTTGGTTTTTGGATCCTTCCTGGGTGTTCTTGGACTCTGCCTGGAGGAAAACCGAAAACAGCTGGTACATACAACTACTCCTCACTCATTTGTCACATTTGTACTATCCTTCCTCCATAATGGTCTCTCTCTCTCTTCCTCTGCTTATCCCAGCATGTTCTCACCTGATCCATCTCTCTCTCTCATCCTCTTGGTTATAGTTGCATCCATGCACAGCAGAGATTGATTTGGGTAACTCCAGGCTGTGTGCAGGCTTTTTTTCTAAGCCGAACACTTTAACACCTGATTTAGCTGATAGTGGACCATTTGTTACAAAAGCATGCACACCCCATGGATGTTGCTTGCCTCTGATGCACAGTGTTTACAGGGCTAATGACCAAATGAGTAGTTTTAAAAGAGGTTACTTAGGGTTGAGTTTTGGTTTCAGTGTATTTCCGTAATGCATCTTTCAGTTGATTGTCTTTTTTATCTGTCAAAGAGAGTGGGAGTGATTAAGAATAGAGAGTGGTGTGGTATCCAAGCCACAGCCACAGCCTCAGTTTGGTGTAAAAGCCAGAAATATGGTCTGTAAAAAATAGAAGGAAAAACCCTAAAACTCATTGGATAATAGTCATGAAAGATCTATGTCTAGGAAGATTTAAATCATTGTAGCCAGCTGATATTTGAAGTGAAACATATGCCCTTATAATCGCTGTAAACAAAGACACTGTTTCTAGGGTAGAATTCAGGGTTGAGCATGCCAATCTTTTACACACCAACTAATAGAATGCAAAGTTAAAGAACCTGATCTTCAACAAGCTCAGGCCAACAGACTCAGCATGGCCAACGCTGTGTCTTTCCAGTCCAAACCACATCCCATGGTACTCTCTGTTCTCCACCTCACACAGCAGGACTAGTCATTAACAAGTTTGAGAAGATGGACAGAGTAGTGTGTGTGTGTGTGTGTGTGCGTGTGTAGTGGATAAGGATATTGATGAGTATGTGTGGGGCTCCTCCATACCATCTCATTTTATCCAGCAGAGGCAAACATTTTGAAAAAGGAGAGAGATACTGAGTGTATAAACAGAAAGGAACTTGTTAGGTCGAGGAAAGACAGGGAGATGGAGAGAGTGAGGGGACCCCAGCATAGAGGAGTAAATGTGCCTGGCTTGGAAAGTATCTCAATGCCTGCAGTGCAGACACACACACACTGTGATGAGGTGATGTCGAAGGAGTCAGGCGCAGGAGGGTAAATCACAGAATAACAGGCTTTATTCCGCAACCGCAGTAACGCGTCAAAAACACTCCAGTGCGCAAAACAGGCGCACTGGAAAATACAAGGCACACAGGGAAATATCCCAGCGATACAAAATACAAGGAGCTCCACCAAGCTTCACTAACCTCCACAATAAACAATCACACACAAAGACAAGGGGGCAGAGGGAACACGTACAGTGGGGGAAAAAAGTATTTAGTCAGCCACCAATTGTGCAAGTTCTCCCACTTAAAAAGATGAGAGAGGCCTGTAATTTTCATCATAGGTACACGTCAACTATGACAGACAAATTGAGAAGAAAAAAATCCTGAAAATCACATTGTAGGATTTTTTATGAATTTATTTGCAAATTATGGTGGAAAATAAGTATTTGGTCACCTACAAACAAGCAAGATTTCTGGCTCTCACAGACCTGTAACTTCTTCTTTAAGAGGCTCTTCTGTCCTCCACTCGTTACCTGTATTAATGGCACCTGTTTGAACTTGTTATCAGTATAAAAGACACCTGTCCACAACCTCAAACAGTCACACTCCAAACTCCACTATGGCCAAGACCAAAGTGCTGTCAAAGGACACCAGAAACAAAATTGTAGACCTGCACCAGGCTGGGAAGACTGCATCTGCAATAGGTAAGCAGCTTGGTTTGAAGAAATCAACTGTGGGAGCAATTATTAGGAAATGGAAGACATACAAGACCACTGATAATCTCCCCCGATCTGGGGCTCCACGCAAGATCTCACCCTGTGGGGTCAAAATGATCACAAGAACGGTGAGCAAAAATCCCAGAACCACACGGGGGGACCTAGTGAATGACCTGCAGAGAGCTGGGACCAAAGTAAAAAGCCTACCATCAGTAACACAATACGCCGCCAGGGACTCAAATCCTGCAGTGCAAGACGTGTCCCCCTGCTTAAGCCAGTACATGTCCAGGCCCGTCTGAAGTTTGCTAGAGTGCATTTGGATGATCCAGAAGAGGATTGGGAGAATGTCATATGGTCAGATGAAACCAAAATAGAACTTTTTGGTAAAAACTCAACTCGTCGTGTTTGGAGGACAAAGAATGCTGAGTTGCATCCAAAGAACACCATACCTACTGTGAAGCATGGGGGTGGAAACATCATGTTATTTTGTTATTGACCAAATACTTATTTTCCACCATAATTTGCAAATAAATTCATTAAAAATCCTACAATGTGATTTTCTGGATTTCTTTCTCTCATTTTGTCTGTCATAGTTGACGTGTACCTATGATGAAAATTACAGGCCTCTCTCATCTTTTTAAGTGGGAGAACTTGCACAATTGGTGGCTGACTAAATACTTTTTTCCCCCACTGTATACAGGTACTGATGAGGGAATATGAACCAGGTGTGTTTAATAAACAAGACAAAACAAATGGAATGATGAGATGAGGAGCGGCAGTGGCTAGAAGGCCGGTGACGATGAAGGATGCCGAAGCCTGCCCGAACAAGGAGAGGTGGCAGCTTCGGAGGAAGTCGTGACACACACACACACACACACAATAGTTCATGAATGATTCTTAAAAATGATTCCAGATGGGTATTGTTAGCTGTTGTTCTGTTGCAATTACATTTCTCCACAGTTTTCTTGGAATTTAGAAAATCTGTCAACATTAGTGACCTATAAAAGTAAAGCAGTCTGCTGCTAATTATTCTCACCTGCTCATTTCTGTCTCTTGTTACGGTTCTTGTAATCGTATAAGAAAACAAGAGCATTTTCCAATTAAAATCACATAAATGTTAAAGAAGCCTTTTTAATGATGCTTGTAGGTAAACAGAGACAGAGGGAGACCGCGAGAAAGAGAGTGTTACGAGAGGGGGGGGGGGGGGGGGGGGGGGGGGGGGGGGGGGGACAAATAGGGGGAGATAGAGAGTGTTGTCTGTCAGTTCTGTTTATCTTTAAGCATTATTACACTGAACAAAAATATAAACGCAACATAAAGTCTTGGTCCCATGTTTCATGAGCTGAAATAAAAGATCCAAGAAATTTTCCTTATGCACAAGAAGCTAATTTCTCTCAAATGTTATGCACAAATTTGTTTACATCCGTGTTAGTGAGCATTTCTCCTTTGCCAAGATAATCCATCCACCTGACAGGTGTGGCATATCAAGAATCTGATTAAACAGCATGATCCTTACACAGGTCCACCTTGTGCTGGGGACCATAAAAGGCCACTCTAAAATGTACAGTTTTGTCACACAACACAATGCCACAGATGTCTCAAGTTTGCAATTGGCATGCTGACTACAGGAATGTCCACCAGAGCTGTTGCCAGAGAATTTAATGTTCATTTCTCTACCAGAAGCCACCACCAGAAGCCACGTTGTTTTATAGAATTTGGCAGTACGTCCAACCAGCCTCACAACCGCAGACCACGTGTATGGCGTTGTGTGGGCGAGTGGTTATTTTTTAAAAGTATCTGTGACCAACAGATGCATATCTGTATTCCCAGTCATGTGAAATCCATAGATTAGGGCCTAATGAATTTAGTTCAATTGACTGATTTCCTCATATGAACTGTAACTGAAATTGTTGCATGTTGCATTTATATTTTTGTTCAGTATATAACAGGCCACTGTTATTTTGTATAATTCTAATCATGTCTGTAATCATGTCCAAGATAGACACGTCCAGCTATCTGTTAAACTGATATTGTCATAGACTCGACATGACCTCAGTGGCTGTCACGGAGTAGGGACCAGCTCATTGGCCAGAATGGCTGCCAGGGCTCCAGTCCTGCCAGACCACCCTGGTTTAGTTTAGGCTACTTACTTACCAACTTAGGCTCATCTCCCATTAGAGATCACAGACCATTGACCATGTGCAGAGAGGTTAGTTCTGCTACGAGCGGTCTCTGAGGTTAGGGTAGTGTTTATTAGGGCAGGGATTCTCAAACTTTTAGAGGCTGGGGACCCCTTTTGTAATAGCAAATTCATCAGGGACCCCCTCATAATCAGAACACAACTCGAGTGAGATAAAATAAAATATAAGTTTTACAATGAATTCGGCAGTGCATGGTCGCACTAACCAAGTTTTGGACCCTGGGAAGGAACATTTTAAAGACCCGCCTCTTGGAATTGCAGTTTTCAAGCTAATTTCCTGCTATTCTACACATTTTTCCATGAGGCAGAGAGAAAACTTAGTGGTTTTAAAAATATGATGTTTCTTTTTACAAATATCCCGGTGAGTCTCCCAGGTCCATGTTGCCCAGGGTTAAGAACATAAATTATAGATTAATAATATTACATTGTATTTTACTACACCCCATGAACGTATTCCACTAATCCCTTGGCCAAAATCGTTTAATCTGTTGTTGTTAGTAATATTCATTAGCAAAAGATAAAAAAACTAAGTTTTATGCAAAAACACTGAGTGTACAAAACATTCCATGACATACAGTGCATTCGGAAAGTATTCAGACCCCTTGACGTTTTCCACATTTTGTTATCTTACAGCCTTATTCTAAAATTGATTAAATTATTTTTTCCCTTCATCAATCTACACACAATGCCACATAATGACAAAGCAAAAGATGTTTACACATTTATAAAAATAAACTGAAATATCACATTTACATAAGTATTCAGCCCCTTTACTCAGTACTTAGTTGAAGCACCTTTGGCAGCGATTACAGCCTCAAGTCTTTTTGGGTATGACGCTACAAGCTTGACACGTCTGTATTTGTGGAGTTTCTCCCATTCTTCTCTGCAGATCCTCTCAAGGTCTGTCAGGTTGAATGCACAGCTATTTTGAGGTCTCTACAGAGATGTTCGATCGGGTTCAAGTCCGGGCTCATGCTGGGCCACTCAAGGACATTCAGAGACTTGTCCCAAAGCCACTCCTGCATTGTCTTGGCTGTGTGCTTAGAGACGTTGTCCTGTTGGAAGGTGAACCTTTGCCCCAGTCTGAGGTCCTGAGTGATCTGGAGTAGGTTTTCATCAAGGATCTCTCTGTATTTAGCTCCGTTCATCTTTCCCTCGATTCTGACTAGTCTCCCAGTCCCTGCTGCTGAAAAACATCCCCACAGCATGATGCTGTCACCACCATGCTTCACCATAGAGATGGTGCCAGGTTTCCTCCAGACGTGACGCTTGGCATTCAGGCCAAAGAGTTAAATCTTGGTTTCATCAGACCAGAGAATCTTGTTTCTCATGGTCTGAGAGTCCTTTAGATGCCTTTTGGCAAACTCTAAGCAGGCAGTCATGTGCCTTTTCCTGAGGAGTGGCTTCCGTCTGGTCACTTTACCATAAAGGCCTCATTGGTGGAGTGCTGCAGAGATGCTTGTCCTTCTGGAAGGTTCTCCCATCTCCACAGAGGAACTCTGGAGCTCTGTTAGAGTAACCATTGGATTCTTGGTCACCTCACTGACCAAGGCCCTTCTCCCCCGATTGCTCAGTTTGTCCGGGTGGCCAGCTCTAGGAAGAGTCTTGGTGGTTCCAAACTTCTTCCGCTTAAGGATGATGGAGGCCACTGTGTTCTTGGGGACCTTCAATGCTGCGGAAATGTTTTCGTACCCTTCCCCAGATCAGTGCCACGACACAATCCTGTCTCGGAGCTCTACGGACAATTCCTTCGACCTCATAGCTTGGTTTTTGCTCTGACACGCCTTTCCAAATCATGTCCAATCAATTGAATTTACCACAGGTGGACTCCAATTAGGTTGTAGAAACATCTCAAGGATGATCAATTGAAACAGGATGCACCTGAGCTCAATTTTGAGTCTCATAGCAAAGGGTCTGAATACATATGTAAATAAGGAATTTCTGGTTTTTATTTGTAATAAATGTGCAAAAATTTCTAAAAACCTGTTTTTGCTTTGTCATTATGGGGATTGATGAGGGGAAAAAATAATTTAATCAATTTTAGAATAAGGCTGTAACGTAACAAAATGTGGAAAAGTCAAGGGGTCTGAATACTTTCCGAATGCACTGTAGACTGAACAGTTGAATCCTGGTGAAAGCTATGACCCCTTATTGATGTCACCTGTCAAATCCACTTCAGTCAGTGTAGATGAAGGGGAGGAGACAGGTTAAAGAAGGATTCTTAAGCCTTGTATGTGTGCCATTCAGAGGGTGAATGGGCAAGACAAAAGATTTAAGTGCCTTTGAACGGGGTATGGTAGTTGGTGCCAGGCGCACCAGTTTGAGTTTGTCAAGAACTGCAACGCTACTGGGTTTTTCACACTCAACAGTTTCCTGTGTGTATCAAGAATGGTCCACCACCCAAAGGACATCCAGCCAACTTGACACAACTGTGGGAAGCATTGGAGTCAATATCGGCCAGCATCCCTGTGGAACGCTTAAAACACCTTTTAGAGAATGCCCCGACGAATTGAGGCTGTTCTGAGGGCAAAAGGGTTGTTTTGTACACTCAGTGTATACAGTGCCTTTAGAAAGTATTCACACCCCTTGACCTTTTCCACATTTTGTTGTGTTGCATCCTGAATTTAAAATGGATTAAATTGAGACACAATACCCCATAATGTCAAAGTGGAATTATGTTTTTAGCCATTTTTACAAATTAATAAAAAATGAAAAGTGGAAATGTCTTGCACCAATAAGTATTCCACCCCTTTGTTATGCAAGCCTAAATACGTTCAGGAGTAAGAATTTGCTTAACAAGTCACATAATAAGTTGCATGGACTCACTCTGTGTGCTATAATAGTGTTTAACATGATTTTTGAATGACTACCTCATCTCTGAACCCCACACATACAATTATCTGTAAGGTCCCTCAGTCGAGTAGTGAATTTCAAACACAGATTCAACCACAAAGACCATGGAGGTTTTCCAATGCCTCCCTAACTGTTTGCAATAAGTCGCTAAAGTAATACTGCTAAAAATGTGGCAAAGCAATTAACTTTTTGTCCTGAATACAACGTGTTATGTTTGTGGCAAATCCAATACAACACATTACTGAGTACCACTCTACATATTTTCAAACATAGTGGTGGCTGCATCATATTATAAGCAATGTTCCCTCTAAGCTACGCACGTGTGCGGTCGCGCAACTTCCCCGGGACTGCCGTGCAGAATAAATATCAGCTCGCGCTGAAAAGCCCGAGACTGATCTTCAGTCAACTTTCTAGTTTTCCGCTTTCGTTAACACTATCAACGTTCCCCTCTACTGTGCGAATTGTGATCGAATCAACACAATATTAACCACTTTCATGCAACATACTGATACAAAACGAACTATGCAAGAGATTTTCTTGTAGGCAGAACGCATTGGAGTAGGATTCTATTGCATTGACAGGCACGACTCAGGCCCATACTCTACACAGACCGGTGCACCATAATCAATCAGAGCTGCAGTATCCCTATATGCAAATACACCATTGCCATATATAGATCTGTGCCATTCACGTTGAACTGGACTGTGTTTACAGCATGAGTGGTCGCAAGTAGATGTGCTTGTTTTGAGATCAAAGCAAGAGCTGCATGTAGCCAGGTGTGTACATTTGTTCATATTCTTTGCTAGTAAGTGAGTTATTAGCCCAGTAATAGCACATTTCTAGTCATCAATGGGGGAGTGGTTGCTTCCTACAAGAGCAGAAAGCGTGTGCATTTCTAGCCATCTTTGAACAGCAAGTCATGTAAAGAGCTTTTTTTCTGTCTTAAAGGGGCAGTGTTGTATTTTGAGACAGGCTTGAATAAGCTAAGTAGCCAATAGGCAGAGGGTAGCATAACTTGTCAGATTCTCTGTAATAATGGTATGGGAATAATAATGCATTTTATTTTGTAAAGTGGTTTCTTGCATCAAACAACATCTTCAGTCACCTCCTTGTCTGAAGGACAAGTGGATAAACAGGTTAATGTCAACCCCCCCCCCCCAAAAAAGTACCATGGAATGAAGGCCTACATTGAACACCACAGATTGTCTGCTACTGTAGGCTGAATGATAGAACAGCTATTTCCATGTTAAAATGTTATGGGATGCATTTTCTCCATTGTTTTTTATGGTAGGCCACTCTGATAGGCCTACATTATGATCAAATAGCCACAGTAGCCTACTTGGCCACTGTTATAACTGTAACTTAAAGCGGGTACAGCCTCAGTTTTCACAGTAAACACACGGCAGCAATTGCATAAAAATTTCAAAACGTTGAAGTTTGCGCTCAGCAGACCTGAAATTTGCTCAGTGCCTAAAGAAATTAGAGGGAACATTGGTTATGGGTATGCTTGTAATCATTAAGGGCTGGGGAGTTTTTCAGGATAAAAAGAAACGGAATGGAGCTAAGCACAGGTAAAATCCTAGAAGAAAACCTGGTTCAGTCTGCTTTCCACCAAACACTGGGAGATGAATTTACCTTTCAGCAGGACAATAACCTAAAACACAAGGCCAAATCTACACTGGAGTTGCTTACCAAGAAGACAGTGAATGTTCCTGAGTGGCCGAGTTACAGTTTTGACTTAAATTTACTTGAAAGTCTATGCCAAGAGCTGAACATTGTTGTCTAGCAATGATCAAAAACCAATTTGACAGAGCTTGAAGAATTTTGAAAAGAATAATGGGAAAATATTGCACAATCCAGCTGTGGAAAGCTCTTAGAGACTTACCCAGAAAGACTCACAGCTGTAATCGCTGCCAAAGGTGCTTCTACAAAGTATTGACCCAGGGGTGTGAATACTTACAGTTGAAGTCGGAAGTTTACATACACTTAGGTTGGAGTCATTAAAACTTGTTTTTCAACCACTCCACAAATTTCTTGTTAACAAACTATAGTTTTGGCAAGTCGGTTAGGACATCTACTTTGTGCATGACACAAGTAATTTTTCCAACAATTGTTTACAGAGAGATTAATTCACTGTATCACAATTCCAGTGGGTCTGAAGTTTACATACACTAAGTTGACTGTGCCTTTAAACAGCTTGGAAAATTCCAGAAAATGATATCATGGCTTTAGAAGCTTCTGATAGGCTAACTGGCATCATTTGAGTCAATTGGAAGTGTACCTGTGGATGTATTTCAAGGCCTACCTTCAAACTCAGTGCCTCTTTGCTTGACATCATGGGAAAATCAAAATAAATCAGCCAAGACCTCAGAAAAAAATGTGTAGACCTCCACGAGTCTGGTTCATCAATGGGAGCAATTTCCAAACACCTGAAGGTACCACGTTCATCTGTACAAACAATAGTACGCAAGTATAAACACCATGGGACCACGCAGCCGTCATACCGCTCAGGAAGGAGACGCGTTCTGTCTCCTAGAGATGAACGAACTTTGGTGCAAAAAGTGCAAATCAATCCCAGAACAACAGCAAATGACCTTGTGAAGATGCTGGAGGAAACAGGTACAAAATATCTATAGCCACAGTAAAACGAGTCCTATATCGACATAACCTGAAAGGCCGCTCAGCACGGAAGAAGCCACTGCTCCAAAACCGTCATAAAAAAGCGAGACTAAGGTTTGCAACTGCACATGGGGACAAAGATCGTACTTTTTGGAGAAATGTCCTCTGGTCTGAGGAAACAAAAATAGAACTGTTTGGCCGTAATGACCATCGTTATGTTTGGAGGGAAAAGGGGGACGCTTGCAAGCCGAAGAACACCATCCCAACCGTGAAGCACTGGGGTGGCAGCATCATGCTGTGGGGGTGCTTTGCTGCAGGTGGGACTGGTGCACTTCACAAAATAGATGGCATCATGAGGAAGGAAAATTATGTGGATATATTGAAGCAACATCTCAAGACATCAGTCAGGAAGTTAAAGCTTGGTCGCCAATGGGTCTTCCAACTTCGAAAGTTGTGGCAAAATGGCTTAAGGACAACAAAGTCAAGATATTGGAGTGGCCATCACAAAGCCCTGACCTCAATCTTATAGAACATTTATGGGCAGAACTGAAAAAGCGTGTGCGAGCAAGGAGTCCTACAAACCTGACTCAGTTACACCAGCTCTGTCAGGAGGAATGGGCCAAAATTCACCCAACTTATTGTGGGAAGCTTGTGGAAGGCTACCCGAAACGTTTGACCCAAGTTAAACAATTTAAAGGCAATGCTACCAAATACTAATTGAGTGTATGTAAACTTCTGACCCACTGGGAATGTGATAAAATAAATAAAAAGCTGAAATAAATCATTCTCTCTACTATTATTCTGACATTTCACATTCTTAAAATAAAGTGGTGATCCTAACTGACCTAAGACAGGGAATTTTTACATGGATTAAATGTCAGAAATTGTGAAAAACTGAGTTTAAATGTATTTGGCTAAGGTGTATGTAAACTTCCGACTTCAACTGTATGTAAATTAGATATTTCTGTTTTTCATTTTCAATAAATTTGCAAAAATGTGTAAAAACATGTTTTCACTTTGTCATTCTGGGGTATTATGTGTAGATGGGTGAGGATTTTTAAAATATTTAATCCATTTTGAATTCAGGCTGTAACACAACAAAATATGGAATAAGTCAAGGGGTATGAATACCTTTTGAAGGCACTGTATATATTGAGATCTGGCCGCGGACCCCTGCAGTACCTCCGCAGATGAAAACCCCTGTATTAGGGCATGCAATGGAAAACTTTTAAAAACGTTTTGCAACAGGGGAAAAATGTAAATCTTATTGGGCAAGTCCATGTACTGTAGTCCCTTCCTGTTTTAGGCAGTTTTCTTCAGTTTGGTGCCTACCCACTGGGCACAGATATCATTTCAACTTCTAGTTTTTATTTATATTTGATTGAGATGTCAACTAACGTGACTTCAACGTGATTTTTCTTCCCACCATGTCATTGGATTTAAGTTAAAAGTTGGGTGAAAAAAATACTAAATTCCCTTACGTTGATGACTTTTTAGGCAAATCTAATCAGTTTTCCACATTGATCCAACGTCATCAGATATAATATTTTTTGTTGAAATGACGTGGAAACAACGTTGATGCAACCAGTTTTTGCCCAGTGGGTAATGAACACGTCCCAGAGCAAGCTTCCCTCAGGTCCACAAATGTCTCAGCCCCCACCCCCCTCTTCTCGCATCTGTTTCTCTTTGTCTGCTGGCGGCCACAGATCTATTTCATCTTATCGATATCTCTCGAGAGAGCGAGTGAGAGGGAGAGAAGGAGTCTTCTCTCGGGAGCTGATCGAGAGCATAGGCTGGAGGAGCTTCTATTTATTTCTACGCTTAGATGTTATTTCTTTCTTCTCTCTTTCTCTTTTCTCTTCGATTCTCTTCTCTTCTCTTCTCTTCTCTTCTCTTCTCTTCTCTCTCTCTCTGTCTCAGTGTGGATATCGTGTTAACACTGGGTTACATTTAGTTGAATCTGCTCTGCTATTTTGGACATAATATATGGCTTATTTCACAGCCCAGACAACTTTTAGGGCCCATGTGAGATGTCGGCTCAGAGATGATCAAGAAATACGTGTGACTCTCCTGAGTAGATTTGTTGTTTGAGTGGATTCTCGTATCAGCAACTTGCATTAAGATAAAACATTTTCCTCGATCATGATATATGATTGCTTATATTTCTCAGAACTGATCTCAAATTAGATGTCAGGATAGGGTAGCTGAACTATTCAGATATCAAGACAGAAACCAGAGTCACTGGTTGCAAAAAAATACTATTACATTAAAAAAGGAAGTCTGTTTCTACTCAACAGAGTTTGTGTTAAATGGCACTAGGCACATAACATGCTTCTGACCATAAACAGTTGTTGTGGTTTGACAACATTTTTACATTTGTTTCTCTGTGTTACTTCATACTGTATTTCTCTTTTAATCATTATACTGTTCAAGCTGTCTCTCTCTTTTCACTCGAGTTGAGTGAAACGTTTGCTTTGACACAGCTGCATTTTGTCTGACATAATGTCTTAAATCCATATATGCTCCCAAGTGTGTTTATTGTAACAATCATTTGGTCTTCTGTCTTCATCAGACCCCTGATGAAATTTAAAGCTTTAAAAATCCCACTGGGCACACACTGGTTCAATCAACGTTGTTTCCACGTCATTTCATTTAAATTACATTGAACCAACGTGGAATAGTCGATGAATTGACGCTGGTGCCCAGTGGGATTGCTACATCCCACTTGGGAGGATATACGCAGTGTACTGTCTTCCTAGTTTTGTTGTTGAACATTAGTCTTACTAACATGTGCTCAGTCATGTGTGTGTTTCTATCTTTTCTAATAATGTATGTTTCCCTTTCTCTCCAGCTTGTGGCGGCCATTGTTTTCCTGAGCTTCGGGATCATTGCCTCCTTCCTGTGTCTGGTGGTGGATGGCGTCTTCATCGTTTTCAACATGGTGAGTCACGTTGCTGCTTCACGTGTCTTTCAACTCAACAGATCACATGGTGTTCGAGACAATTGTGACCGTAAATGAAAATCTAACCTAAAACTAATTTATTTCTCATTCAGAGTGAAAATAGCAATTTTAGGGGGGGGGGGGGGGGGGAATCATTTATTTCTCATTTATTCAGTCGGCAGTAGGCTTGATCTCAGTTTCCCCCAGTCTCTGATCTTGATGTCGTGCATGAGAGTGTTTGTGAGAATAGCTGTAATATTAATGTTCATGCATGAGTGTTTCAACGTGTGTAGATGGAGATTGACCCACACTGTCTAGAATGTTGAAAGCAGTTTGGATTGAGCCTCACTCCCTGTGGATGAGTGTGGTCATGAGAAACCTTTGGGTGAGAGAGCGTCCTCTCCTCCCATTTCAATGTGTTAACCCAACCGAAAATTTCACACAAGATCAAATGTTCCGTTTGCCATCCCAATAGCACAATATAACTTCAATAATTGCAATAAACTTAACACATTTACATTTCAAAGTGGAACAATGCATGGCTACACAATGACATTGCAATATAATATTAATGTGTACATTTCTAGGGATATGCCAAGATGCAAAGGACCCATGGTCCAGATTTGTGTCTGTCTGTCTGTCTGTCTGCCTGTGTTTGTCTGTCTGTCTGTCTGTCTGTCTGTCTGTCTGGCTGTCTGGCTGTCTGCATGTCTGCATGTCTGTATGTCTGTATGTCTGTCTGTCTGTCTGTATGTCTGCCTGCCTGTCTGTCTGCATGCCTATCTGATTGTGCAGGGCATTTGTGTTAGTATGTAGTGGGTGGAGGGCTGGGGAACCCAGCAAGCAAGTTATTGTATTAGACCAGTGATCACAAAGCTTCAGCTAGGAATGTTTGCCTCTCTATCAAAACCCTATTAAAAACATCTAAAGAAGAGTGAATTGTAAAATACAAAGCACCAATAACAAACAAGGTAGACAATATGCCATGTATTAGGGATCTAAGTGAGAGTTTTCTTATACTTTTTTAAATGCAATTTGTTATTGTTTAAATTCTGCATTTCTTCTGTTTTTCTCAAAACTGTGAGCAAGAATGAATAAAGCCAAAGCAGACAGAAATAAGTCTTTGAGTATAGCAGACTGGTCTCACAGACTAGACGTAACATAGTAAATATAAATCCTTGACAGTCAAATTAGTATGATATGTTACGTTTGGTATGGTTACAGATAAAAGGTTACTTAAGGTAAAAATGAAAGAAGGATGATTGGTCGGGGTGGATGGGTGGGCGTATAACATGAACGTAAAGCAACCCAAAGTAGAAGTTAATCACGGACAACATTAGCATTTTAGCTAATCAGCAACTTTGCAACTACTTACTACTTTATAGCTACTTTGTAACTACTTAGCATGTTAGCTAACTCTTCCCCTAACCCTAACCTTATCCCCTTTAGCTAACCTTTCCCCTAACCCTAACCCTTAACCCTAACCATAACCCTTTAACCTAACTCCTAACCTTAACCCTAACCTTAACCCCTAGAGATAGCTAACGTTAGCATTAGCCACCTAGACACCTAGCTAACATTAGCCACAACAAATTGGAATTCGTAACATATCATACGTTTTGCTTATTCGTAACATATTGTACGTTTCGCAATTCGTAACATATCATACGAAATGGATGATGGACATCCACAAATTAATATATACCATACGAAACATAATATATCATACTAAATGTAGTGTTTCGGATTTACGTACAGAATAATATGAAATACTGTGAGACCAAGTTGGGTATAGGGGCACTAGACTCCACTGGGTGTCTGTTTCCCAATAAGTCTTGATCTGTAAGCAACCCCCACACCCCCCGTTTGACTACATAGTTGAAATATTTTTGTATTTTTGATTCCAAGTAGGATTTGACCCTATGAAGGGATGAGTATTAAAGTAAAAAAGAAGGACCTATTTTTGTCATAAATGTTATGGCTTTTCATTTGTATCCCTTTATAAGGAGAAGTGTAACAATTTGACATTTTAAACATTTTGCCTTTCCTCATGCTGTCAATATTACTAGGCCTTAGTTCTATTCACAATCATCAACCGGTCAAATCAAGTCCATATAGTAATCTGGCTTACAGTGGGGGAAAAAAGTATTTAGTCAGCCACCAATTGTGCAAGTTCTCCCACTTAAAAATATGAGAGAGGCCTGTAATTTTCATCATAGGTACACGTCAACTATGACAGACAAAATGAGAAATAAAAATCCAGAAAATCACATTATAGGACTTTTTATGAATTTATTTGCAAATTATGGTGGAAAATAAGTATTTGGTCAATAACAAAAGTTTCTCAATACTTTGTTATATACCCTTTGTTGGCAATGACACAGGTCAAACGTTTTCTGTAAGTCTTCACAAGGTTTTCACACACTGTTGCTGGTATTTTGGCCCATTCCTCCATGCAAATCTCCTCTAGAGCAGTGATGTTTTGGGGCTGTCGCTGGGCAACACGGACTTTCAACTCCCTCCAAAGATTTTCTATGGGGTTGAGATCAGGAGACTGGCTAGGCCACTCCAGGACCTTGAAATGCTTCTTACGAAGCCACTCCTTCGTTGCCCGGGCGGTGTGTTTGGGATCATTGTCATGCTGAAAGACCCAGCCACGTTTCATCTTCAATGCCCTTGCTGATGGAAGGAGGTTTTCACTCAAAATCTCACGATACATGGCCCCATTCATTCTTTCCTTTACACGGATCAGTCGTCCTGGTCTCTTTGCAGAAAAACAGCCCCAAAGCATGATGTTTCCACCCCCATGCTTCACAGTAGGTATGGTGTTCTTTGGATGCAACTCAGCATTCTTTGTCCTCCAAACACGACGAGTTGAGTTTTTACCAAAAAGTTATATTTTGGTTTCATCTGACCTTATGACATTCTCCCAATCCTCTTCTGGATCATCCAAATGCACTCTAGCAAACTTCAGACGGGCCTGGACATGTACTGGCTTAAGCAGGGGGACACGTCTGGCACTGCAGGATTTGAGTCCCTGGCGGCGTAGTGTGTTACTGATGGTAGGCTTTGTTAATTTAGTCCCAGCTCTCTGCAGGTCATTCACTAGGTCCCCCCGTGTGGTTCTGGGATTTTTGCTCACCGTTCTTGTGATCATTTTGACCCCACGGGGTGAGATCTTGCGTGGAGCCCCAGATCGAGGGAGATTATCAGTGGTCTTGTATGTCTTCCATTTCCTAATAATTGCTCCCACAGTTGATTTCTTCAAACCAAGCTGCTTACCTATTGCAGATTCAGTCTTCCCAGCCTGGTGCAGGTCTACAATTTTGTTTCTGGTGTCCTTTGACAGCTCTTTGGTCTTGGCCATAGTGGAGTTTGGAGTGTGACTGTTTGAGGTTGTGGACAGGTGTCTTTTATACTGATAACAACTTCAAACAGGTGCCATTAATACAGGTAACGAGTGGAGGAGAGAGGAGCCTCTTAAAGAAGAAGTTACAGGTCTGTGAGAGCCAGAAATCTTGCTTGTTTGTAGGTGACCAAATACTTATTTTCCACCATAATTTGCAAATAAATTCATAAAAAATCCTACAATGTGATTTTCTGGATTTTTTTCCTCAATTTGTCTGTCATAGGTGACGTGTACCTATGATGAAAATTACAGGCCTCTCTCATCTTTTTAAGTGGGAGAACTTGCACAATTGGTGGCTGACTAAATACTTTTTTCCCCACTGTAGATGTCTGCCTCTAGATTATATCAATGCTTATGTTCAGCTTTTGTCACAGAAAGATTCCAATGCACTGTACAGATGTAGGATCTTAATTTGAGCAAGTTTGCTACAGCAGGAAGATAATCCTGCAGCAACAGGAAATGTGAATTATTATGTGGATTATAATTAATCAACACTTTTATGGGGGTTGATAGATTTTTCATAAGGGAAAATCAAGTCTGAAATTTAAAAGTGGAAATTACTAACTTTAGCAGCCTTTTTAAACCTCAAATACACTACAAGTTTTATATTTACTGCTTTCAGGAAAGTTCTCCTGCAACAGGGTGATCAAATGAACATCCTACATCTGTATGTATTCGGTACTTACAAATGTCAATAAGAGTTGACTTGACTAGTTCCAACGTAGTGTACTAGTTGATATACTTATATACAGTATGTGTTGAACAGCATAGTACATAACTACTATCTATTTACAATGCCTTAGTAAAAGCTGCAAAATTCACCCCTTCTGCTTCTAACATACACACACATATATATATATATATATATATATATATATATATATATATATATATATATATATATACAGTGGCTTGCGAAGGTATTCACCCCCCCTTGGCATTTTTCCTATTTTGTTGCCTGACAACCTGGAATTAAAATGGATTTTGGGTGGTTTGTATCATTTGATTTACACAACATGCCTACCACTTTGAAGATGCAAAATATGCTTAATTGTGAAACAAACAAGAAACAAGACAAAAAAAACAGAAAACTTGAGCGTGCATAACTATTCACCCCCCCCCCAAAGTCAATACTTTGTAGAGCCATCTTTTGCAGCAATTACAGCTGCAAGTCTCTTGGGGTATGTCTCTATTAACTTGGCACATCTAGCCACTGGGATTTTTGGCCATTCTTCAAGGCAAAACTGCTCCAGCTCCTTCAAGTTGGATGGGTGCCACTGGTGTACAGCAATCTTTAAGTCATACCACAGATTCTCAATTGGATTGAGGTCTGGGCTTTGACTAGGCCATTCCAAGACATTTAAATGTTTCCCTTAAACCCCTCGAGTGTTGCTTTAGCAGTATGCTTAAGGTCATTGTCCTGCTGGAAGGTGAACCTCCGTCCCAGTCTCAAATCTGTGGAAGACTGAAACAGGTTTCCCTCAAGAATTTCCCTGTATTTAGCGCCCTCCATCATTCCTTCAATTCTGACCAGTTTCCCAGTCCCTGCCGATTAAAAACATCCCACAGCATGATGCTGCCACCACCATGCTTCACTGTGGGGATGGTGTTCTCGGGGTGATGAGAGGTGTTGGGTTTGCACCAGACATAGCGTTTTCCTTCATGGCCAAAAAGCTCAATTTTAGTCTCATCTGACCAAAGTACCTTCTTCCATATGTTTGGGGAGTCTCCCACATGCCTTTTGGTGAACACCAAACGTGTTTGCTTATTTTTTTCTTTAAGCAATGTCTTTTTTCTGGCCACTCTTCCGTAAAGCCCAGCTCTGTGGAGTGTACGGCTTAAAGTGGTCCTATGGACAGATACTCCAATCTCCGCTGTGGAGCTTTGTAGCTCCTTCAGGGTTATCTTTGGTCTCTTTGTTGCCTCTCTGATTAATGCCCTCCTTGCCTGGTCCGTGAGTTTTGGTGGGCAGCCCTCTCTTGGCAGGTTTGTTGTGGTGCCATATTCTTTCCATTTTTTAATAATGGATTTAATGGTGCTCCGTGGGATGATCAAAGTTTCTGATATTTTTTTTATAACCCAACCCTGATCTGTACTTCTCCACAACTTTGTCCCTGACCTGTTTGGAGAGCTCCTTGGTCTTCATGGTGCCGCTTGCTTGGTGGTGCCCCTTGCTTAGTGGTGTTGCAGACTCTGGGACCTTTCAGAACAGGTGTATATATACTGAGATCATGTGACAGATCATATGACACTTAGATTGCAAACAGGTGGACTTTATTTAACTAATTATGTGACTTCTGCAGGTAATTGGTTGCACCAGATCTTATTTAGGGGCTTCATAGCAAAGGGGGTGAATACATATGCACGCACCATTTTTCCGTTATTAATTTTTGTAGAATTTTTTTAAATAAGTTATTTTTTTAATTTCACTTCACAAATTTGCACTATTTTGTGTATGTTCATTACATGAAATCCAAATAAAAATCAATTTAAATTACAGGTTGTAATGCAACAAAATAGGAAAAACGCCAAGGGGGATGAATACTTTTGCAAGGCACTGTATACAGTTGAAGTCGGAAGTTAACATACACCTCAGCCAAATACATTTAAACTCAGTTTTTCACAATTCCTGACATTTAATCCTAGTAAAAATGCCCTGTCTTAGGTCAGTTAGGATCACCACTTTATTTTAAGAATGTGAAATGTCAGAATAATAGTAGAGATAATTATTTATTTCAGCTTTTATTTATTTCATCACATTCCCAGAAGGTCCGAAGTTTACATACACTCAATTAGTATTTGGTAGCATTGCCTTTAAATTGTTTAACTTGGGTCAAATGTTTCGGGTAGCCTTCCACAAGCTTCCCTCAATAAGTTGGATGAATATTGGCCCATTCCTCCTGACAGAGCTGGTGTAACTGAATCAGGTTTGTAGGCCTCCTTGCTCGCACATGCTTTTTCAATTCTGCCCACAAATGTTCTACAGGATTGAGGTCAGGGCTTTGTGATGGCCACTCCAATATCTTGACTTTGTTGTCCTTAAGCCATTTTGCCACAACTTTCGAAGTTGGAAGACCCATTGGCGACCAAGCTTTAACTTCCTGACTGATGTCTTGAGATGTTGCTTCAATATATCCACATCATTTTCCTTCCTCATGATGCCATCTATTTTGTGAAGTGCACCAATCCCTCCTGCAGCAAAGCACCCCCAGAGCATGATGCTGCCACCCCCGTGCTTCACGGTTGGGATGGTGTTCTTCGGCTTGCAAGACCCCCCTTTTTCCTCCAAACATAACGATGGTCATTATGGCCAAACAGTTATATTTTTGTTTAATCAGACCAGAGGACATTTCTCCAAAAAGTACTATCTTTGTCCCCATGTGCAGTTGCAAACCGTAGTCTGGCTTTTTTATGGCGGTTTTGGAGCAGTGGCTTCTTCCTTGCTGAGCGGCTTTTCAGGTTATGTCGAAATAGGACTTGTTTTACTGTGGATATAGATACTTTTGTACCTGTTTCCTCCAGCATCTTCACAAGGTCCTTTGTTGTTGTTCTGGGATTGATTTGCACTTTTCGCACCAAAGTACATTCATCTCTAGGAGACAGAACGCGTCTTCTTCCTGAGCGGTATGATGGCTGCGTGGTCCCATGGTGTTTATACTTGCATACAATTGTTTGTACAGATGAACGTGGTACCTTCAGGCATTTGGAAATTGCTCCCAAGGATGAACCAGACTTGTGGAAGTCTACTTTTTTTGGCTGATTTCTTTACATTTTCCCATGATGTCAAGCAAAGAGGCACTGAGTTTGAAGGTAGGCCTTGAAATACAGCCACAGGTACACCAACAATTGACTCAAATGATGTCAATTAGCCTATCAGAAGCTTCTAAAGCCATGACATCATTTTCTGGAATTTTCCAAGCTGTTTAAAGGCACAGTCAACTTAGTGTATGTAAACTTCTGACCCACTGGAATTGTGATACATTGAATTATAAGTGAAATAATCTGTCTGTAAACAATTGTTGGAAAAATGACTTGTGTCATGGACAAAGTAGATGTCCTAACCGATTTGCCAAAACTATAGTTTGTTAACAAAAATGTGTGGAGTGGTTGAAAAGCGAGTTTTAATGACTCCAACCTAAGTGCATGTAAACCTCCGACTTCAACTGTGTATATATATATATACACATACATACATATACATTTATACATATATATATTATATCCGTCTTCTGCTTCTAACATACAGTCGTGGTCAAAAGTTTTGTTAGTATTGGTCTTCACAAAGTTTGCTGCTTCAGTGTTTTTCGATATTTTTGTTAGATGTTACTATGGTATACTGAAGTATAATTACAAGCATTCCATAAGTGTCAAAGTCTTTTATTGACAATTACATTAAGTTTATGCAAAGAGTCAATATTTGCAGTGTTGGCCCTTCTTTTTCAGCCCATTCTTGCATAATCAATGCTAGGAGTTTGTCAGAATTTGTGGGTTTTTGTTTGTCCACCCGCCTCTTGAGGATTGACCACAAGTTCTCAATAGGATTAAGGTCTGGGGAGTTTCCTGGCCATGGACCCAAAATTCTGATGTTTTGTTCCCAGAGCCACTTAGTTATCACTTTTGCCTTATGGCAAGGTGCTCCATCATGTTGGAAAAGGCATTGTTCGTCACCAAACTGTTCTTGGATGGTTGGGAGAAGTTGCTCTCTGAGGATGTGTTGGTACCATTCTTTATTCATGGCTGTGTTCTTAGGCAAAATTGTGAGTGAGCCCACTCCCTTGGCTGAGAAGCAACCCCACACATGAATGGTCTCAGGATGCTTTACTGTTGGCATGACACAGGACTGATGGTAGCGCTCACCTTGTCTTCTCCAGACAAGCTTTTTTCCGGATGCCCCAAACAATCGGAAAGGGGATTCATCAGAGAAAATGACTTTACCCCAGTCCTCAGCAGTCCAATCCCTGTACATTTTACAGAATATCAGTCTGTCCCTGATGTTTTTCCTAGAGAGAAGTGCCTTCCTCGCTGCCCTTCTTGACACCAGGCCATCCTCCAAAAGTCTTTGCCTCACTGTGCATGCAGATGCATTTATACCTGCCTGCTGCCATTCCTGAGCAAGCTCTGCACTGGTGGTGCCCCGATCCCGCAGCTGAATCAACTTTAGGAGATGGTCCTGGTGCTTGCTGGACTTTCTTGGGCGCCCTGATGCCTTCTTCACTCGGTCTCCCGAGTGGCGCAGTGGTCTAAGACACTGCATCGCAGAGCTAGCTGTGCCACTAGAGATCCTGGTTCGAATCCAGGCTCTGCTGTAGCCGGCAGCAACCGGGAGACCAATGGGGCGGCGCACAATTGGCCCAGCGTCGTCCAGGGTAGGGGAGGGAATGGCCGGCAGGGAGGTAGCTCAGTTGGTGGAGCATGGCGTTTGCAACGCCAGGGTTGTGGGTTCGATTCCCATGGGGTATGAAAATTAAAAAAAAAGAATAATGTATGCACTAACTGTAAGTCGCTCTGGATAAGAGCGTCTGCTAAATGACGTAAATGTAAATGTTCACAACAATTGAACCTCTCTTCTTGAAGTTCTTGATGATCCGATAAATGGTTGATTTAGGTGCAATCTTGCTAGCGGCAATATCCTTGCCTGTGAAGCCCTTTTCGTGCAAAGCAATGATGACGGCACATGTTTCCTTGCAGGTAACCATTTTTCTTCCTCTCTTAACCATGATTTCAAGCACCACCTTCCTTTTAAAGCTTCCAGTCTGTTATTCTAACTCAATCGGCATGAAAATGAACTTAATCCCCCCAAAATATTTCCACTGCATTTCAGCCCTGCCACAAAAGGACCAGCTGACATCATGTCAGTGAATCTCTCCTTAACACAGGTGAGAGTGTTGACACTCTCAACACTCTCACCTGTGTTAATGAGAGATTCACTGACATGATGTCAGCTGGTCCTTTTGTGGCAGGGCTGAAATGCAGTGGAAATGTTTTTTGGGGATTAAGTTCATTTTCATGGCAAAGAGGGACTTTGCAATTAATTGCAATTCATCTGATCACTCTTCTTAACATTCTGGAGTATATGCAAATTGCCATCATAAAAACTGAGGCAGCACTTTGTGAAAATTAATGTTTGTGTCATTCTCAAAACTTTTGACCACGACTGTACACTGAGTGTACCAAACATTAGGAACACCTTCCTAATATTGAGTTGCACCCCTGTTTTCCCTCAGAACAGCCTCAATTCGTGAGGGCATGGACTCTATAAAGTGTCGAAACCATTCCCCAGGGATGCTGGCCCATGTTGACTTCAATGCTTCCCACAGTTGTATCAAGTTGGCCGGATGTCCTTGCGTTGGTGAACCATTCTAAATATTTTAAATCCGTCTTCTGTTTTATTGGAGAACTTTACAATGCCAGAACGATATGGAGTCTAATTGGTAATGCTATTCAAAAGGGGTGTGCTGGAATTGGATGGAGTCATTGCAGCTGTGTTTAAAGCAAATGTAGTGTCCTGAGTGGCGCAGTGGTCTAAGGCACTGCATCACAGTGCTAGCTGTGCCACTAGAGATCCTGGTTCGAATCCAGGCTCTGTCATAGCCGGCCGTGACCGGGAGACCCATGGGGCGGCGCACAATTGGTCCAGCGTAGGGGAGGGAATGGCCGGCAGGGATGTAGCTCAGTTGGTAGAGCATGGCGTTTGCAACGCCAGGGTTGTGGGTTCGATTCCCACGGGGGGCCAGTATAAAAAAATTTAATATATAATGTATGCATTCACTAACTGTAAGTCGCTCTGGATAAGAGCGTCTGCTAAATGACTAAAATGCAAATGTAATACAACTGCAGTCTATTCAAAGTTCTCATGCATTAAGAGATCATCTCTGTCTGTCCACACCAGGATGTCCGTCCTCTGAAAGCAGGGAGATGCCAGTTTTACACCAGTGGAAACAGCTATATCTATGAGAATTACTATGCCTCTGTAAGTACAACTGCACGCATAGCAATATGACTTACTGTGCTAGCTATACTGTCCAATTCTGAAAATACATGTAGTACATACTGTCTGGCAGGGGGAAAATCCATTTTTAAGGGAGGGGTCAATCACCTTTGACTAATCTCTGCTTGTACTGTACCTGTCACTCAATACTGTTGATTAGAGTGTCTGCCTCCTCTTGCAGGTGCCATGCCAGGGTCTCACGGAGTCATGTAGTATGAAGGTACGCAGTGGGACCTGCTACTGCTGCGACCTTTATGACTGTGCCAAGTGAGTAAAAGATACACATACATTAAAGGTCCATAATGAAGCTTTGTGAACAACCCAACAGATTTCTGATAGAAATGTTATAGATCTGTCATTCTCATTGAAAGCAAGTCTGATAAGCGGTAGATCCAACCGGGAATAATCTAACTGGGTAATAAAAATGCAGTGCTAAAATAACTTTATATACAGTATATGTGGTAACTCACCCCTCACATCAGCAATGTGTAGAACCCACCCACCTGTGTGATGCTTGGAAGGCATTTTGTGCCAGAATGCTCGTCACACATTAGCTATCACGATGATAAGGTGTGGAGTGATTGTGCCCTATTTAAGCTGAAGTAGGCTCAAACTAGCGCCAAGGGTTTCCTAGCCAGGTCACATGGTGTACAGACCAACTCATCTCACTTCCCACTGCCCTCATGAGTCATCATTCGCTGCTCCTTCACTCCATGCTCATTCACACCACGCTGCTCGTTGGTAAGCGAATGCTCATGCTACCTGTCTCTCCTTAACTTGTAGACCGGTGTTTTGACTCACTGCCCCGCAATTTACTGCTTGCTTCTACAGCACCAAGTTGGTCATCTCCCGCTCGTGTAGTGTATGTGCAGGCAGGATCCATACAGTGAGCAAGTCCTCCGCTTTCTCTCTGTTTGCCGTACTGGTGTGTGACTCAGGTTTGTGTTGCTTGAAGTGTTTGCCATTTCACAGGCCGTGCTTGTTTCGGGAGGCAGGGTGCAGGCTGTATTTGCAAACCCACTGTAGCTTATAGCAAACTTTCAGTAAATTCCTGTCAAGAAGAGAGTCCAATTAGCTTAGCTATCTTAGCTAGCCGGTAGTTTCAAATGGAGGTTGGTAACGAACAGTTTAAATGCTGCAGGAGCTGTGTTTATTTTGCTCTATTCCGGGACAATGTGGACTGTCTGGACTTTCAATGCAGCAACTGTTTGCTTGCAGAGGACTACAGAGGCGAAGTGGCTACTCTTAGCAAACAAGTAGCGATCAGGGTGTGACATTAGTGGATGTTCCTATTCTTGACCCTGCCAACCAGCCATGGAGGCATGTCACTCACAGTGGAAGTAGAAAGCAGCGGCCTTTGGTAATTGAGGCCTCCTTGGCGGTAGGAAGCCCGGACTGGTTACTTCAAACAGCTTCACTGCCCTGGATCTAGAGGTTCCGGCGCCTTCATCCCTGGGGGCTTCTGCTTCAAGATTGGATCCGGAGGTACCTGCGCCTCCGTCCCCTGTTCAGACTCCCTCTCCGGTGGCTTCTATGGTGAATACATCCAGTATGAAAATGTATGCACTCACTAACTGTAATTGGCTCTGGATAAGAGCATCTGCTAAATGACTAAAAATGCAAATGTAAAATAAGGCTTTGTTGGTTATGGGAGGCTCGAACTGGGTTGCAAGAAATTCGGTCGTGCGAGATTCCGCGTCTGGCTGGTCCTTGACGGGTCTCCCAAATGCTAGGCGTGGGAATGGGCGGATTTAATCTTCAATCTCTCCGGCTGTTGTCTTAGGCAGCTCTGTGGTTAGAAACGTATTGGTTTCTGGAGCAAAAACCCTGTGCTATCCCGGGGTTCGAGTACAGGATATTACTAGGCTGCTCCACACTTTTCTACATCAGCACACAGAGATTGATGCTGTTGTAGTCCATGTGGGATTTAATTACATTAAAAATGGTAGCTCGGAACGGCTGAAACAGGATTTTGAAGAATTGATTGGTTCTCTGCTGGATACCAAAAAACGTCCTATAATTTCTTGCCCTGTGCCCTCAGCAGATTACTAGCACTTCACAACTGGCTACTGACTACTGCAGTTCCTTGGGTGTACCTTTTGTAGCCAACTTTTACACCTTTTGGAAGCAGAGGATGCTCTATAAGGAGGACGGGATCCACCCTAATCGTTTGGGTGCATGGATCCTGTTCAAACACTATAAGGCAGTGCTGAGGCAATGACTGATCAAATCAAGCTCCTCAAAGGTACATGTATTTACTCCCATTAAATTGCAGAGATATCATTCCGCCACAATTTCCCATGTTGATAGGGTTATTGTAAATAGTAATTCTGTGCCTGTTAATTTAATAAAAATGTAATTTAATAATCAAATCAAATAAATACATTGATAGCTCTGTTAGCTCCCATAAGGAACCCACTGTTGTTAGCTCAACCTATGCTATTAATAGTTTTATATCAAGCTATCGTTTTGCTACATGTGCTCATAACCATAGGGGTATTGTCAATAGTAATCCTGTGCACATTTACCTGAATTCTGCTATTAGCTCTGCAACTTTGAATCCAATCAGGAAGTGGCTAGCTCATCCAGTTCTATTGACTCTTGTGTCACCATGGATACTCCTGCTGTTTTCAAATCTCGCAGAGGGCTTGGACTGTTAAATATAAATGTGCGAAGGCTGATGTCTAAACTGGACTTTCTGGATGTCTGGGTGCATGACACTAGCCCAGACTTTCTGGTTATCTCAGAGACCTGGCTGAATAATTTGATTATGGACAAGGACGTTGCCATTGCGGACTACAACATTTTCAGATGTGATAGAGCAGAAAAGGGGGGAGGGGCGGCTATTTATGTAAGATCTTCTCTTATGGCATCATGCTCGCTTAGCATTTCAGTCCCCAAACTATGTGAGCTGTTGGTTATTAAAGTGGACATAAGCCAAAATATGCATATATTTATTGCTGCGGTCTACTGCCCCCCAGCTGCTTCGGTGGAGGCTGTTGGTATTATTTCTGATTATTTATAATATTTTCTGGTATTTTAACTGGTTGTGTTAGGAAATCTAAATCTTGATTGGCTTACAAATGCCTCAGATCAGTTTAAGAATATCGGTCTTGAGTTCAACTTGACTCAGCTGATAATGAAACCCACAAACCTAGCAAACATCTTCATTGATTGACCTTATCCTGACAAACTATAAATATTTGGCTAGTGGTGTTTTTGCAAGTTATATCAGCGACCACTGCCCTATTGCTTGCATTAGAGATACCAAATTGAAAAACTATTGTCACGATCGTCGACAGAAGCGGCCCAAGGTGCAGCGTGAGAAGCGTACATCTTTTAATGAGTACTTGTACACACAACGAACCAAAACAATAAACGATACGTGAAGTCCTAGGTTAAATACACAAACCTTCCGGAACAAGATCCCACAAAACAAAAGTGCCAACAGGCTGCCTAAGTATGGTTCCCAATCAGAGACAGTAAGAATCAGCTGCCTCTGATTGGGAACCACCCTGGCCAACATAGAAAACACGAACTAGAACACAACATAGAAAATAACACATAGAAACTCCACACCCTGGCTCAACATATAAGAGTCCCCAGAGCCAGGGCGTGACAACTATGACCATAGTATAATAGTGAAGAGACATTTTTTAAGATTCCCGCCCCTGGCGTTCCTTCATGATCTATATTATTCCGGGATTTTTTATACTAGCTGCATACCAGACCCTGTTGTGGCACTTACATTTTTCGTACCATTTTTACCTCTCTGGCTAATAAACATGTCCCTTTCAAGCGACTTAGAGTCAAAAACCGAACTAACCTATGGTACTCTCCTGTACTTGCAGAACTCGTCTTGATAAGAAATCAAGCCTGGGCCAAGGCTAGAGAAACTGGCTTGTTAGCTGATTGGCAGCTATTTAGGCAATTGAGAAATAGGTGCACTACCTCAGTTAAACAAGCCAAATCAAACTACTTCCTTAGCGCTATGACTGACTCTGTTAGTGATCCCTCTAATTCCTCTACTTCCCTGCCTAAGCAAGTAGTTTTAGACACCTGCATCATTACTGAAAAAGTTCTGATTCATGATGCTTTTAATCAGCATTTTATCTCAGCTGGTTTCCTATTTGAAAGAAATGGTGGTCATTTGTTACTTAACTTTAGTATCAGGAAATATTCCAAAAGTGTGGAAAGCAGCTTTTGTGCTACCACTCCATAAGGGTGGAGATAGTAGTAATCTTGATAATTATCCACCCATTTCCAGGCTCACTTGTCTGGCGAAAATCTAATCTATGGATTTCACATGACTCGGCAGGGGCGCAGCCATGGGTGGACCTGGGAGGGCATAGGCCCACCCACTTGGGAGCCAGGCCCAGCCACTGGGGAGCCAGGCCCAGCCAATCAGATTTGTTTTTCCCAAAAAAAGGGCTTTATTACAGACAGAAATATTCCTCAGTTTCATCAGCTGTCCGGGTGGCTGGTCTCAGATGATCCCGCAGGTGAAGAAGCCGGGTGTGGAGGTCCTGGGCTGGTGTGGCTACACGTGGTCTGCGCTTGTGAGGCCGGTTGGACATACTGCCAAATTCTCTAAAACAACGTTGGAGGCGGCTTATGGTATATGGAATGAACATTCAATTCTCTGTTGGACATTCCTGCAGTCAGCATGCCAATCAAAATCTAGACATCTGTGACATTGTGTCCCCAGCACAAGGTTTTAAGAGTGGCCTTTTATTGTCCCCAGCACAAGGTACACCTGTGTAATGATCACGCTGTTTAGTCAGCTTCTTGATATGCCATACCTGTCAGGTGGATGGATTATCTTGGCAAAGGAGAAATGCTCACTAACAGGGATGTAAACAAATTTGTGCACAACATTTGAGAGAAATAAGCTTTTTGTGCAAATGGAACATTTCTGGGATATTTTATTTCAGCTAATGAAACATGGGACCAACACTTTACATGTTGTGTTTATATTTTTGTTCAGTATAGAATCATTGGTCAAGAAACAGCTACGTTATTTTCTATCTGTAAATTGTATTCATAATGTTAATCGATCCGGATTTAGACCTAAACATAGCACCCCTACGGCTACCATGCCTGTTGTAAATGATATTGCAAATGCCATAGATCATAGAAATAATTGTGCTGCCAGACTTGTCAAAAGCTTTTGATACTGTAGAACATGTTATTCTGTTGAATAAGCTGTCCTTGGCAAGGTTGGTACTGATGCTTGCCGATGGTTTCATAATTATCTCAGTGACAGAACTCAGGCCATCAAGGTAGATGGGGTCAAATCTGAGTTCCTTGAGTTACATAAAGGGGTGCCCCCAAGGTTCGATACTCGGCCGACTACTGTTTACAATCTATATAAATATAATTGGTAATGTTGTAAAAAAATATATAAAAAAATGAATGCAGATGATAGTGTTGTATTCCATTGCTCCATCGGTTGGCCAAGCCTTTTCACATTTGAAGTCTGATTTTCAAGCACTGCAGAGGTCACTATTGGATCTAAAGTTAGTGCTAAATGTAAACAAAACAAAATGCATGCTTTATTCTTGGTTCCATAACCCAGATTTAAATTAATTTGTAATGACTAGTTTGAACGGTACACAAATTGAGCGAGTTCCTTCCTACAAATATCTTGGTATCTGGCTGTCATTTAAAAAACATGTCACTGAGCTGGTGAAGAAGTTTCAGTTCAAGGTTGGTTACTTTTACAGAAACAAAGCACGTCTGACTTTTGTTAATAGGAAGGAAATTGTCTAGGCCACTTTTATGTCTATTTTAGATTATGGCAATATTATCTATATCTACAATTAAATCACTAGATGCTGTTTTCCATTGTGCCCTTAGGTTTATTACTGTGTTTATTTCTGCTTTGTTATTTGCGCGGGCTGCACACACATCTTCAGTCTCTCATTCACAATTTGACAAGCACTTGATAATGCCTCTAATTTCCTGGCAGCATCCCGTTTGTTTGGCCATAATGCCCCCTAAAACAATTAATGCCTTTTGCAGCCAGTGGCCGTTGTGCCCTTGGATTGAATATAATAATTATAATTCCCTTCTCTCGGCTGCGTGCTCCCAAGCACCTCTCACTCATATGGCTCTCTAAGATAGCTCAATTCTTATTAGCCAATGCCCATCACATGATCGGGTCTTTCTCACAGGCTACAAGTGAAGACAGACACATCAGGGACGCAACTGCGCGCATCCTTATCCAATTCCGATGGCGCATATTGAAGATATTGGAAGAACTGTCCACATTGACTTTTCATCAGTCAACAAGATCAGTAGGCCTAACGAACAGCAAAAGCACTAGCCTATCAACTTTTGTACTATGGGGGATAGTAGATTGACATAGGGTCAATCTACTATCCCCCATAGTACAAAAGTGGACCTATTCTGTACGATAAATTAATATTCCAGACATAGTCTGGGACAGTTGTGGGATGCGATAGATCTCAAATTAATACAACCACTAGCATCAAAAAAACTTTTTTAAGCAATGAGGCTGACGCAACAGATCAGAACATTTAGCTTAAAATGTTGATAAACTATTAGGCTATTTTTTCACATTATAAGCAAAGCAATGCGCACACAGAGTAGGCTATAAGTGTGAATGTTCCAAGATGCAATCAATTAGCAGGAAAACACTTTCTCAAAAGTGACCGCAAATGCGATTATGCATGTTATGCTTTTATTATAAAGGTGCATTTTAATGGTGAAAATTATCTTCCCCAAACTTGAAACTCGCGCTGCATATGTATGCCAGTTAGGCTCTACACCGTTGTAAAGCAGATTAATGTGCTTAATTTTAAGAAGTTATTTGGCCACTTTAGTTGTGATACAAACCTTATCAAAACATATAGGCCTATGGGCTAGGCTACATGAGGTGTGCGACTATGATTTTGAAAAAGTTGCAAAAAAAAGGCATGCGTTGTTTCTTGCCTTACTGCACACAAGCTAGGTATCATTCATAAGTGATAATATATCATTCACAAGTGATAGGCTAATATTGTCACCCATCAGACTGTTCTTGATTTAATCTTTACATATACTAAATCATATATATGTGTGAAATTTATTTTAATTTAGAATGGACTATTACTATGCACCTGTCTTGAAACAGGGGCAGGGGCAAAAAATACATGTCATCTCTGCACTTAAATAGCGAATGGAGGACGCTTTTCCTGTGGTTCAATTTCATGCCAGCCAGGTAGGCTATACTCCTGTTGTAAAGAGAAGCAATGTGCTTAATATTAGGAAAGTTGAGAAATAAATATGGTAGGCCTAGCCTATAGAAAGCTGATGGGATCCTCCTCTTTTTAATAGAAGCCATCACTCTGTTTTCTCACGCAATTGCATAGCCTATAGAAATGTTGCGCAACATGAGCTCATGGGCTCTCATGAAGTATTTGATTAGATTTTCGATTACATTTGCATTGATGTCAGAGTGATTAGAGGGACAATAGAGTCCAGTTAGCAAGTTTGGTAGCAGTTAGCAAGTTAGCAAGTTAGCAAGTTTGGTAGGCTACTAATGTCCATCAGCAGCATCAGAGCTTGGAGAAGCCTAATTACCGTGACTAAACGGTCACGTGGAATTTGACTACCGACATGATTCGTGAACGCCGGTGTGGCGGTAATATATCACTGTAACAGCCCTAGTTGGGACTCTTTGTATGTAAGGAGTGATGTAAGGAGTGTCACGCCCTGACCTGGAGAGACTGTTATTCTCTAGGTAATTTGGTCAGGGTGTGAAAATCTATGTATTGTAATTCTATGTTTGGCCGGGTGTGGTTCCCAATCAGAGGCAGCTGTCACTCGTTGTCTCTGATTGGCGATCATACTTAGGCAGCCATTTTTCCTGCCTGGGTTGTGGGATTTTGTTTGTGGTCCTGTTTGGCGTATAGCCCATAGGACTTCACGGTTTCTTTGATTTTGTTATTTTGTCTAGCGTTTATCCTGTTCAATAAACATGTACGCATACCACGCTGCACCTTGGTCTGACCCGTCTCTCAACGATCGTGACAGAAGATCCCACCAAACACGGACCAAGCAGCGTGCCCAGGAGCAGCAGACACCCTGGACACAGGTAGTGGAGCAGAGATCATGGACTTGGGGGGAGATAAGAGAGGATCTGGCCAAGCATATGGAGGCCCTGAAAGGGATGAGGGTGGAGAAGGAGAGAGTAGCCGATAGAGGACCCTGGGCGAAGGAGGAAGCCCAGGCAGGAGAGGAGAAACGGCGACCCAAGAGGACGCGGTCACGAAGAAAGCCCGAGAAGCAGCCCCAATACATTTTTTTGGGGGGGGCACACGGGGTGGTTGGCGGAGCCAGGGTTCAGAGCAGAGCCAACTCCCCGTATTCACGCTAAGAAGCGTGTGACCGTGCAGGCTCCGTGTTATGCGGAGCTACGCACTGTGTCGCCAGTGCGCCGGCACAGTCCAGTGCGTCTTGTGCTAGTGCCACGCACGTGCCGTGCGAAAATGGGCATCCAACCAGGATGGGTTGTGCCAGCTCTACGCTCCAGACCTCCAGTGGGCCTCCACAGTCCAGTACGCCCGTAACTGCTCCCCGCACCAAACCAGTGGTGCGCGTATCCAGTCCGGTACGGCCCGTGCCAGCTCCTCGCACCAAACCAGTGGTGCCTGTCGCCAGCCCGGTACGCCCCGTACCTGCTCCCCGCACCAAACCAGTGGTGCGTGTCTCCAGTCCGGTACGGCCCGTGCCAGCTCCTCGCACCAACCCAGTGGTGCGTGTCTCCAGTCCGGCACGACCCATGCCTGCTCCTCGCACCAGACCAGTGGTGCGTGTTCCCAGTCCAGCTCCGGTCAGCGGCGCCACTCCAGAGCCAGAGCAGTCCGCTCCACCGGGGTCCAGTTCAGCTCCGGTCAGCGGTTCCACTCCGGAGCCAGAGCAGTCCGCTCCACCGGGGTCCAGTTCAGCTCCGGTCAGCGGTTCCCTCTCCAGGGTCGGGGCCTCCCACAACAGGGTCCAGACAGGGCTTGTTGCATCGCGGGAGGATTGCTGATCCAGGCCCAGACGTCAGCCCCTCTCCAGGTTCGGGGTCTCCCACACCAGGGTCCAGAGAGGGCTTGGTGCAGCAGGGGAGGAAGGAGGGGGGAAGCATCGCGCCGAGGTCCAGACCAGACCAGGGGCGCAACGGGGAGGCAGAGAGGGAGAGGTCGTCACGGCCGGAGCCGGATCCGCCTCCGAGGCTGAATGCCCACCCGGACCCTCCCCTAATGAGTCAGGTTGGTGCGGCCTGAGTACGCACCTTTGGGGGGGGGGGGGGGGGTACTGTCAGGCCTAGCCTAATTGCATAGCCTATAGAAATGTTGCGCAACATGAGCTCATGGGCTCTCATGAAGTATTTGATTAGATTTTCGATTACATTTGCATTGATGTCAGAGTGATTAGAGAGACAATAGAGTCCAGTTAGCAAGTTTGGTAGCAGTTAGCAAGTTTGGTAGGCTACTAATGTCCATCAGCAGCATCAGAGCTTGGAGAAGCCTAATTACCGTGACTAAACGGTCACGTGGAATTTGACTACCGACATGATTCGTGAACGCCGGTGTGGCGGTAATATATCACTGTAACAGCCCTAGTTGGGACTCTTTGTATGTAAGGAGTGATGTAAGGAGTGTCACGCCCTGACCTGGAGAGACTGTTATTCTCTAGGTAGTTTGGTCAGGGTGTGAAAATCAATGTATTGTAATTCTATGTTTGGCCGGGTGTGGTTCCCAATCAGAGACAGCTGTCGCTCGTTGTCTCTGATTGGCGATCATACTTAGGCAGCCATTTTTCCTGCCTGTGTTGTGGGATCTTGTTTGTGTTCCTGTTTGGCTTGTTTTGTGTATAGCCCATAGGACTTCACGGTTTCGTTGATTTTGTTATTTTGTCTAGCGTTTATCCTGTTTAATAAACATGTACGCATTCCACGCTGCACCTTGGTCTGACCCGTCTCTCAACGATCGTGACAAGGAGAGAGCAACATTTTCATGTGTTTAGCTACAAAGCAGTTATGCAGAAACTTCCTATGTATCTATCATCATTAATTCAATTTAGACTTACAAATGACCAAACCCGGTCTCAGGCTTGAATAACCCTGGAGGCCCCTTTGGTCTCCACAGAGTTGGGTAAAGCTGCTTTTAGTTTTTTTGTGCCCTTTATGTGGAACAACTTACAGAACTCTCTGAAATTATATCTTCTGGTCTCAGTTGGTCAGTTCAGAGTAATGATCGGAGACCTCTATGTTAATAGATGTGTGTTTTTCTTAATATGTTTTGTAATTTTGTATATTGTATGTGTTTGATGTACACTGCTCAAAAAATAAAGGGAACAACACAATGTATCTCCAAGTCAATCACACTTCTGTGAAATCAAACTGTCCACTTAGGAAGCAACACTGATTGACAATAAATTTCACATGCTGTTGTGCAAATGGAATAGACAACAGGTGGAAATTATAGGCAATTAGCAAGACACCCCCAATAAAGAAGTGGTTCTGCAGGTGGTGACCACAGACCACTTCTCAGTTCCTATGCTTCCTGGCTGATGTTTTGGTCACTTTTGAATGCTGGCGGTGCTTTCACTCTAGTGGTAGCATGAGACGGAGTCTACAACCCACACAAGTGGCTCAGGTAGTGCAGCTCATCCAGGATGGCACATCAATGCGAGCTGTGGCAAGAAGGTTTGCTGTGTCTGTCAGCGTAGTGTCCAGAGCATGGCGGCGCTACCAGGAGACAGGCAAGTACATCAGGAGACGTGGAGGAGGCCGTAGGAGGGCAACAACCCAGCAGCAGGACCGCTACCTCCGCCTTTGTGCAAGGAGGAGCAGGAGGAGCACTGCCAGAGCCCTGCAAAATGACCTCCAGCAGGCCACACATGTGCATGTGACTCCATGAGGGTGGTATGAGGGCCCGACATCCACAGGTGGGGGTTGTGCTTACAGCCCAACACCGTGCAGGACGTTTGGCATTTGCCAGAGAACACCAAGATTGGCAAATTCGCCACTGGCGCCCTGTGCTCTTCACAGATGAAAGCAGGTTCACACTGAGCACATGTGACAGACGTGACAGAGTCTGGAGACGCCGTGGAGAACGTTCTGCTGCCTGCAACATCCTCCAGCATGACCGGTTTGGCGGTGGGTCAGTCATGGTGTGGGGTGGCATTTCTTTGGGGGGCCGCACAGCCCTCCATGTGCTTGCCAAAGGTAGCCTGACTGCCATTAGGTACCGAGATGAGATCCTCAGACCCCTTGTGAGACCATATGCTGGTGCGGTTGGCCCTGGGTTCCTCCTAATGCAAGACAATGCTAGACCTCATGTGGCTGGAGTGTGTCAGCAGTTCCTGCAAGAGGAAGGCATTGATGCTATGGACCGCCCGTTCCCCAGACCTGAATCCAATTGAGCACATTTGGGACATCATGTCTCGCTCCATCCACCAACGCCACGTTGCACCACAGACTGTTCAGGAGTTGGCGGATGCTTTAGTCAAGGTCTGGGAGGAGATCCCTCAGGAGATGTCATACTAGCTTAATAATATAACTTTATAAAGTAGTATAATGTTATTCTTGGAATGGCATATTAAAAGCATAAATATAATAATATTGTAATGGGATTTGTTGTTAGTGACGTTTTGTTGTCCTGTCTTGTAGTGGGGGCTACATGAACAACTACTATGAGTTTGTTGGTGTGCGGAGCTGTGGGGACGTGCTGTCCCTGTACGTGTTGATCTGGGTGCTGACCAGCCTCAACCTGGTGGCCTTCTTCCTGGGTATCCTGACCACCGCTGTGCTGGGAAGCATCAAGGACCAGGTGAGAGAGACAGGCTGCGGCTAAAATTATACGCTAATATACTTGTGCAATACTTAAAAGTTTGTGGTGTATAATCAGGAGTCTTGAGCAGTACTTGCAGTTAAATCATATCCAGGTTTTATTCCATATTGTATTAAACTTGGGGAAAGGGGATTTGGAAAAATAATCAAAATCAAGGTGGAATTATCTTGCCCTGCAGGCCTGCTCTTGCCCATGCCAAACATTCTTCTCAGTAGCCCACAGGTGTGTGGCAACAGCTCATTATGAGCGATGTTGGGTGCGGGGCACGGCTCGCCTGTAGTGGCGCTCTCCATTGCTGTGGTGCTGAACCGTCAGCGTATTTCTCCTGCGCTGGCTAGCGGTAGCTGTCCATAGTTCTGAAATACTTTGGTGCGTTATTTACTGTATATAGGCACATTCTCGGGGCTCACAGGTTAACATTGGCTTCGAATAAATTCGTAGCGCTGAAGATCTGAGCTGTAGCGCGATTGAGATTTAAAGGTAATTTTCGATTGAGCCGACATACTGTATTCAGCGTTTACCTTGAATGCAGTCTCTACGAACACGGGAACATTGGCGCTACAGATTGAATCGAGGCCATACTGTTCTTCATTATAGGGACATTTTAGGGAAATTACACTCCAAATTCAAAGTTTCTCAGATGTTTTCAGTTTGTGTAGATCCAGCTGTGTGCCTCGTCAACCTCAAATGAATGTAAAAGATAAGCACAACAAATCTGGAAGTTACACGGTGCTTATCTTTTCCATTTGATAAAGCTGAATATACAAAACAGATGACCTGGGACATGGATTTATCCCAATAGAAGAACTCAAAACATAACTCACTTTAAGTGCACTATACGTGTCTGAGGCCCTATTCCCTATATAGTGCACAACTTTTGACCCGAGTAATGAAGGATCTAGAGTATGGGTTCCTTTAAGTGAGTGGAGGCGAATCGCATAACTGTTGCTTGACTGCACCTATAGTGCTATTGATGAGACTGGTGTTGATACAGTAGAGTACAGTGAGTCCATACACGGTGTACCGTATCTAGCTGTGTTCCAGAGGAGTGGAGGAGCCTGTGTCAAGGACTAACACAGCAAGAGATAGGAGTTGTGTAGAGTAGCAGAGGTATCAAATTACAGGCAATCTCCCAGACGATGTATCAGGATGACTCCAAAGGACATATGGTGTCAAGATGGAACAGTGTGAGCCGGTAGGGGTGTGGGCTGGGGCGCTGTTAAACTTTACGAGACGTTCTTCTGCTATCATTGTTCTTCTGCTATGAAATCATCCAAAAACTGTCAGTGTTTGTTTTAGCCTGCCTGGAGTGCCAGATGTGCAGGGTTTATAGTTGTGGAACTATTTTATCAGTCCATTAAGCCAGGCAAGCTCAATCAAGCACAGATCAAGTATTTACAATTATTTCAAATAGTTTTTTAACCCAGATCTGTCTGCTATCATATCCGAGCAAAGCTTGAAGGAGTGGATGGTGGTTGGGAAAGGCATATTCATACCTTTTCCGATGATCAAATCGAATACAAAAGTGTGTATTTTAGTGTCCCGGCAATCCAGATTCGAAATGTCTCGACTCACTTAAGAGGAAAGAGATATCTCTCTGGCGATCATCCTATGTTAAATGTCCCCAGCAGAAACAGAACAGCTAACCGGCCCTGATTGAATTAGAAGAAGGGGCATATGTTCTGTGTTGTTGGGAGACACAGCAGGGCATAGCCCAGGAAGACACACATCAACGTCAGAGATAATTGTTTCTTAGAAATCTGAGATCCCCCCTCCACCTCCCTGATATCCAGCACAACCCTTAATGTGTGTGTGTATTTTGTGATTTAAAAAAAAATCTGAATACACACAAGAGGATCACAACACACCAAATTGTGTTTGTGTGTGTCTCTCTTTGTGTGTGTGTGTTTGACAGAGGAGCAGCTCAATGACCCTGTCGTCATCTCATCTCTCCGAGGGGGGATGTCTCTCCTCCCCCACTGCCCCCCTGCTGATGGACAACACCAACACAGGTCACCAACACCTCTACCCGGTCAGTCACACCCCTCCACTCCTGTTAGTATTGGAACAGATAAGAGCAAAACCCACTGGCTAAGTGTATAAGCAAACACATCTCTCACAGATATTGAATACATCAAAAAACTACATCCACATGAAATGCATGATAAACACACCATAAAACCTATTTATTGCAAAACACAATGATAAAATTGCTGGTTCCACTGAATCTTCATTGTTGAAGTGACTGTTACTGTAATAAGTGTGTCCCTATCCCACAGGTCAGGCTCATGACCCACATTTGCTGTTTCCATATAATGAATCTGACCCATTTCTCTGCTATGGTTTTACTAGATCAATTAAGCCCTAGACCGAAACAGAGGTTGTAGAAATTAATCATTGCCGTCCTGGAAAAACCTTGTATCTTCTTGTAACCGTTTAGATTGTATTTTTTTTATACACAAAGTGTAGTAGTCATTCCCTTTCATGTGCAGTGAAAGTTTAATGACTTTAAGACCAATCAAAGTCACTCAAAACACCTTGTGAATATCTGTGACTATGGTAATAGATCTGAAAATATATTTCAAAAATCAATTTATGAAAAGTCAACTTTTTGGAGATACAAGGCTCTATTTGAATAAACCTAATGCAATGGTAAATCTGGCAATAGCGTTATAGGTTTGGGGGGTGTCAGATTTAAAAAAACATTTTCACAACCAGAATTATGGGCGCAGTAGATGGCGGTGGCGTGAAAGGGCTGAGTTTTGATGAATAAACAAGTTGTGGGTGTGTCGAGGCTTGGCCACTCACTGGCCACTCAGGAAAAAATTGTAATGTCCAATAAAATAAAAACGGGAATGTCTGTTGACTTAACCAATTGCGTTACCGCTAAGACCAGCTTTTGGTGAGTCTTAAATATCACCAGTAGCGCTGCTTGAATTTGGCACATTGGTGCACGTTTTTAAGGACAAACCTCAAATATCTCCATGCCTCCCACCTCAGCGCAAGCAGGCTAATATATACGACAGGTAAAATACCAAAACTGGTGCAAGGGTTGAAAAATAGCAGCGCTGGCTTTTACAAGTCGAAATTGCCAAAGAGCATACAGTGCCTTGCAAAAGTATTCATCCCCCTTGGAGTTTTTCCTATTTTGTTGCATTACAACCTGTAATTTAAATTGATTTTATTTGGATTTCATGTAATGGACGTACACAAATTTGTCAAAATTGTGAAATGACAAAAATTACTTGTTTCAAAAAATTCAAAAAAATAAATAACGGAAAAGTGGTGCGTGCATATGTATTCACCCCCTTTGCTATGAAGCCCCTAAATAAGATCTGGTGCAACCAATTAACTTCAGAAGTCACAAAATTAGTTAAATAAAGTTCACCTGTGTGCAATCTAAGTGTCATATGATCTGTCACATGATCTCAGTATATATACACCTGTTCTGAAAGGCCCCAGAGTCTGCAACACCACTAAGCAAGGGGCACCACCAAGCAAGCGGCACCATGAAGACCAAGGAGCTCTCCAAACAGGTCAGGGACAAAGTTGTGGAGAAGTACAGACCAGGGTTGGGATATAAAAAAATATCCGAAACTTTGAACATCCCACGGAGCACCATTAAATCCATTATTAAAAAATTGAAAGAATATGGCACCACAACAAACCTGCCAAGAGAGGGCCGCCCACCAAAACTCACAGACCAGGCAAGGAGGGCATTAATCAGAGAGGCAACAAAGAGACCAAAGATAACCCTAAAGGAGCTGCAAAGCTCCACAGCGGAGATTGGAGTATCTGTCCATAGGACCACTTTAAGCCGTACACTCCACAGAGTTGGGCTTTACGGAAGAGTGGCCAGAAAAAAGCCATTGCTTAAAGAAAAAAATAAGCAAACACGTTTGGCATGTGGGAGACTCCCCAAACATATGGAAGAAGGTACTCTGGTCAGATGAGACAAAATTGAGCTTTTTGGCCATCAAGGAAAACGCTATGTCTGGCGCAAACCCAACACCTCTCATCACCCCGAGAACACCATCCCCACAGTGAAGCATGATGGTGGTAGCATCATGCTGTGGGGATGTTTTTCATCGGCAGGGACTGGGAAACTGGTCAGAATTGAAGGATTGATGGAGGGCGCTAAATACAGGGAAATTCTTGAGATTTGAGACTGGGACGGAGGTTCACCTTCCAGCAGGACAATGACCCTAAGCATACTGCTAAAGCAACACTCGAGTGGTTTAAGGGGAAACATTTAAATGTCTTGGAATGGCCTAGTCAAAGCCCAGACCTCAACCCAATTGAGATTCTGTGTTATGACTTAAAGATTGCTGTACACCAGCGGAACCCATCCAACTTGAAGGAGCTGGAGCAGTTTTGCCTTGAAGAATGGGCAAAAATCCCAGTGGCTAGATGTGCCAAGCTATAGAGACATACTCCAAGAGACTTGCAGCTGTAATTGCTGCAAAAGGTGGCTCTAAAGTATTGACTTTGGGGGAGAATAGTTAAGCATGCTCTAGTTTTCTGTTTTTTTTTTGTCTTATTTCTTGTTTGTTTCACCCCTCCCAAAAAATTGATCTTCAAAGTGGTAGGCATGTTGTGTAAATCAAATGATACAAACCCCCCAAAAATCTATTTTAATTCCAGGTTGTAAGGCAACAAAATAGGAAAAATGCCAAGGGGGGTGAATACTTTCGCAAGCCACTGTACGTTTGACACTAGCGCTGCCTTAACGCCAGACGAAAATAGAGCCCAAAAGTTTTTTCCAGGTCACCAAAGATGTATTTCAACAACAACCTCTGTTTCGGTCTTGAGGTTAAGTAGTCCTGTTACTGGTAGTTGGTCTATTAAAACCATAGGAGAGAGAAAGGGGTGAGATACTGTACATTGGATGGAAACTCACAGATGTTCTTGGAGGACTCAGCTCCCTCTGCCATCCCATATTGGGGCTCCCGAGTGGCGCAGTGGTCTAAGGCACTGCATCTTAGTGCTTGAGGTGTCACTACAGACCCCCTGGTTTGATTCCAGGCTGTATCACAACCGGCCGTGATTGGGAGTCCCATAGGGCGGCGCACAATTGGCCCATCGTCGTCCAGGTTTGGCCGGTGTAGGCCGTCATTGTAAATAAGAATTTGTTCTTAACTGACTTGCCTAGTTAAATAAAGGTAAAATAAAATAAAAATAAAAATATTGCCCTGCTGCCCTCCCCTTCCCCTGCCCACCGTTTACCTTACCCGCGTTATTAAAACGGAGCTTTGCGACTACTGGCTGCTAGAAATGAAAATCTGTAGTGGACCGAGTGGCGCAGCGGTCTAAGGCACCGCATCGCAGTGCTAGAGGCGTCACTACAGACCCGGGTTCTATCCCGGGCTGTATCACAACCGGCCGTGATCGGGAGCCCCATAGGGCGGCGAACAATTGGCCCAGTGTCGTGAGGGTTTGGCCGGGTAGGCCGTCATTGTAAATAAGAATTTGTTCTTAACTGACTTGCCTAGTTAAATAAAGGTTAAATAAAAAATAGAAAGACAGAGAGCACCAAGTAGCCCTAGTAGATCATGCCAGGTGCATGCCTCAGCAGAGCTAACAAGAACAGCCTCCAACCAATAAACCCCCAGAAAACAAGAACTTGTCTTTGAAACATTAGACCTACCTGGAATCTATTTTATTTGAAATCTTTTTTTTTGCTTATCCACTCAAACAGGTGATGATCAAAGTCTGCTATTTGTAATTATTCCCAAGTAGAGTGTAGTTACAAATGGAACAAAATACTTTTCCGCTCTTTGCCCAGCCGAATCAAACTAAGCTTTGTTTGTATTGTGTTTATTTGGCATCTATTACGTTAATTTGCTCATTCACTCAAACTGGTGATGGTTTTCAATTAAAAGTCTGTTTGTAACTATTCTTTACCTAGAATTAGAGTGTAGTTATAAATGGAAGAAATTAGCAAATGGAACAATACTGTTTAGCTGAATCCAACTAAGCTTTGTGTTTTCTGTTCTGTCTTTCAGAGAGCCTCCCTATACTTTGCCCCAGCGGCGGGGGCGGAGTTCCCTCAGAGTGATCCGTCAGTACCCCCACGTCCGGACCCCAACCCCCCTCCCTTTGCCCCGCTCTATAACCTGCTGCCCTACAAACCACAGAGCTTTTCAGTCTGAATGAACCTCCCTATTCCAGCGTTCCATTGCTAACTTGTCACACAACTAGGGCCAGGAGTTTCCTCCAGACACTCCTGGCCCTAGACATGACAGTCACATGACATCCAGGGGATCCGTATTTTGGAGTTTGTTTTAGAATAGTTGTTGGGTATGGTGTAAAATGTCTGTATATGAAATGTAAATATGTTGAGCTATTTCGATTGATTTGTCCAAAAAAATGTATGGTTTATGATGTGCATTTTATAAACTAGTGAAAAGGCTAATTATTTAAGACATTTTGTGAAATGTATAGTTTGACAAAATAACTGTACTTTTTATACTACATCTTAAACTCAACTGTATCTGCTAATAAAGTAATAACAAATAATGTTAAGTCTTTTTTTTCTGATCAAATGAACTTATGGACACAGACAGCCATACTGTTCTAGGTTCTGCCATGCTGCCCACTCACACTCATTTTCATTAGAGATACTGCTTGATGTTGCCTGCCTGGCCTCTTCATTGCCTTAACATTGTTTACCTTTGGTCTCACTAGTAACCTACTCCAGGATGATTTCATTTGGGCCCTAAACTCATTAAGTAATAAGAACTTTGTTGTTTCTTTGAACCCAATAGGCATAGAGGGGGATGTGTATAGAAATATCAAGTCCCTGGCCAGACAATGCATACCTCACAAACTGAAACTTCTGTGTGGTTTTTCTTCCTTCTATAAACATGATGTTTGCAATGTGCTTCCCCTGGTTACAGAAACACAAGAAGGGTACAGAGCTGAGACAATTCCTCAACATTCCCCAAGGTGTCCCCTCCAACTGACAGACAGACATACTCACACACACTTCTTTATTTCAAGAAGCGAAGACACATTCACAAAACTTTCCACTTGTGAGGGCTAAAAACCAATAAACCCAAAATCCAAATGTAATTTGCTTGCACAATTCCACTTGAAACAATTAGGTGGAAATGTACAAGACAGAAGATGGATGGAGTAATTATCTGGTTTTTTTCATCACCAGGGGTTGAAGAATTTCGCAGGGCAGAAATAAACCACAAGAACATTGGCTTTCTCAGGCAACTGTGAAAACCTGGGTTCAAATACTATTTGAAAAATGTCAAATACTTTGCACGTTTGCTTTAGCCTGCCTGGAGTGCCAGATGGGCAGGTTTTGCACCTTTGCGACTATTCTTTTGGTTCCATTGCACCAGACAAGCTCAATCAAGCTCAACTAAAGCATTTGAAATGATTTACTTTTGTATTTGAATCCAAGTCTGCAACTGGATGTGAGAGCTTCTGTCTGGTAAGAAGATGAGCTCCTTGTGTTTTGGTATTCATGCCACTCTCATGTCAATGAAGATTATAGAATAACTGTTCTGTCCAAGGCTCTTCTGTCTTGCTTTAGTTAGTTTCATAGGAAGTATAAGGTAATACAGAGAGATAAAACTTGCATCTCATCCATACAGTACATTAAGAAATGGTTCAGGAACTTATCAGTGTGAGAAAGAATACAATGTTTTTTGACCATCTGGACAGCTTTGGATGAAATTACAAGACATATGTAAAAAAATGCAATGCTACTCAAATAGCTATAAAAAGCAGCAAATGCTTTATTGCCATTCTCACCGACTTAACAAGAGTGGACATGGTAATTCAGCTGTACTGTTTAGCTTTACCTCATTATAGGAGAATTCTGCTGGAAATATGCAGCAAATAAAGTGAAATGTTACGGTTTTGCAGTGACGTACCAAAGATTGCCAAAAATGTATACAAAACGATCTACACAAAGAAAACCTTCTCTTGTCCTTCAAATGAACCCTCACTTGTCAGATATGCTTCAAAACAAATACAATTAGAAAATACAATTTCTGCAGTAACATGTGTTACAGCTTGTTGCATAGATAGCCATATGAGACAGAGTAAAACGTTGAGAGACAGACAATGGCCAAACAGTAAACAGTGGCTTAAGTGGTCTTATGTAGCATTATGTAGTCTTATAAGCAGTGTCGTGTGTAACTGCGGCTCCTTTACTTCCCATCTCGGACGTCGAGGGCGGCAGGGCAGCTGTGAGAGCGGACATCCCCATGTTTGACCTCTGCCAGGTCAAGGTCGACATTGACACCCTGGATCTTGGCCTGGAGACAGCCGTGGAAGCTGGACACACCTTCTGGACACAGTCAAAGGTCAGACAGAGGCCCCGTTCAAGTGATTGAATTGTGCATCCTTCCTTCCTCCCTTCATCAAAGTAATCACTGATTAGACATTACTGGACAGATGAAAGCCACGTAGGGCGGTCCTTGCAAGCATAATTTAAAGGAGGAAGGAAGAATGCACAATTCAATCACTTGAACGGGGCCTCTCTCTGACCTTTGACTGTGTCCAGAGGGTGTGTCCAGCTTTCACCCTTTTTTTTATTGGTTATATGTCGCCACATGACCTGGAAGCATATGGTCATTCTGGGGTGAAATGTGGAAAATTTGCTTATCTGATTTGTGAGGTGATCCAGGAAACTACTGGAGAGGAGATGTGGATTGAAATTATGCAAAGTGGAAGGACAATTAGTAGTGGACAATAAATGGAGAGGAGATAGAGAGAATGATGCTGGGACATGGTATGTGGGAAAGAATGAAAAAATAAGAATGAGGTGAAACGAAGGTGGGAGAGAGCTGGAAATAAGGGGAAAGATTGAGGGTGAGAGAGTGAGGGAAGAGTAGAATAGTAAAAAGGTGTGATGGGTCTGCACTTAAAAATATGTTGCATAAAGCTTGCTTCATTTTTTATGTTATTATTTTCACTGCATCAGGGATAGCGTACACAGATGTTTCGGCTATGCGGCCTTCTTAAGTGTGTAAGAGTAGAATAGTGAAAGAGTAGGAGGAATAGGATCAGTTGTTGTGGGAAGACAGCACGAATAGGATTGGAAGAGAAAAGTCTCTGGCCTAAAGTAGTGCACTTTGTAGAGAATAGGGTGTCATTTGAGACTCAATGCTCACCTGGTCCGCCCCCCAGGTACACCATGCTCCCTGGTTGGCTCAACACTCTCTTCAGGAGCTCGTAGTCCCAATCGGTCAACTTCATGGTTGCCTTGGTTACGCCCATGCCAATCACCAGCTGGCCTCACCTGCAGCTGCAGGAACTGACTCTCACCTGAGCAGAGGGCCTGGGTGTAGCTGTGTGACCAGAATAGAGTCCCCCTCAAACGCAGCATCAGTTCCTAGGGCACAGGAAACACAAACGATGGATGAATCCAAACTTATCCAGGAGAGATTTGCATTATATCACCCCATAAGGCTGTGTTTGGATAGGGATTGGAGGTAATGCTTCATTTGGGTTTAAAAAGGATCTCCATTGGTCTGTAAAAATTGTCAACACATTGTCATTTGGAAACAAATTTCATAAAGAGAGGCAGCGGATGCCAGATCAACAATCGGTATCAACAGAACAATCTGCAACAGGAAAAAGCAACACATCTGTTTGTGCCCTAGATAGACGTAAAAGGTCAAAGTCAGGGTTTGTTCCATACAGCACAAAGAATGTGTGTTGAAGTCCAACAGAGATCTGTTCACATAGATATTTGGGGGGATTTCCAGTAGCTAAATCATCTTAAAGTATGGCATACTGACAGTGACATAATTTGAACAAAGCCTCTTTCGGAAAGTTTGACCTCTTCATGCTTGTCATTTTGCATGACATCACAACATGTGAGCATTGGGCTAATCAAGTCAGTTCCCAGACTCTATGGAGGCAGGAGTGTGTGTGTGTGTGACTTGTTTGCGACCTGCTGCTGTGTGAATGTGTGTGTGTGTGTGTCTGTGGGAGTGTGCGTGCGTGCGTGTGTATTTGAGTGACCTGTGTAAATGTGTGTGTGAATGAGCGTGTATGAGTGTGTATCTGTGTGTGTGCGTGTGTTGGCCATCTAATAATAATAATAATATGCCATTTAGCAGACGCTTTTGTCCAAAGCGACTTACAGTCATGTGTGCATACATTTTTACGTATGGGTGGTCCCGGAGATCGAACCCACTACCCTGGCGTTACAAGCGCCATGCTCTACCAATTGAGCTACAGAGGACCACATCTCTTTGCCATCTCTTTGCCATCTCTTTGCCATTTGTTAGGATTTGACATTGTGCCATTCTTAAAGTTCATAAGCATTTCCAAAGCAGTAATAGTGAAGGAATGACAGAAGATAGAGACTATAACATAACAAAGAGCTGGTCCAGATCAGTTGGGTCGTGAGGCTGTATAGTTCCGGTGTGTTACCTGTGAAGGGTGGTTGAGTTTCAAGGAGAGGATGTAGTCGTTCTACGAGGATGAAGAGAAAGCCTCTGCCTAAAACCGTTCTGAGAGCTAGCTCCACAGAGAGAGTCCAGTCTGCAACATCTGGCTCAGCTGAAGAGTTTCCCAGCAGCACTGCAGACACAAAGACAAACATCCCATACATATCACTCTGCACCCTAACCCGTGCACTTCCTTGTTCATACAACCATGCAGTGTTCCTTTTACAGACCATTGAATGTCTTCACGCTTTTTACGTTACTGACAAAATAAGGAAAGCACCTGATCCAAGTACTTAAACTTCAGCTTCAGATGTTATTGAAGTAATGAAAATAATGAAATACCATGGGACAGTAGCTACAGTATGGGAGCATGTGAGACTCTCTGTGGAGACGGCAGGCAGCCTAGCAGTGAGAGCGTTGGGCTAGTAATCGAAAGGTCACTGGTTCGAATCCCTGAGCAGGCAAGGTGGAAAATCTGTCGATGTGCCCTTGATCAAAGCACTTAACCTTAATTGCTCCTGCTCCTATTAGTCACTCTGGATAAGAGCATCCTCTAAATTATGTAAATGAAATGGGAGTTAACCAGGGATCCATTCTTAAAGTGGTAGGTTTACACATTTTTTACCAATCTTAATTGTTTTCTTCCCGTGAGAGAAGTTCTGTGTTCCGCTTAGAATTCAAATACAGGCTCTATGGAAAAGATGCATGGAATGGGAGAATGAAAACTATGACAAAAAATAGTTGGAAACTTCTTTACCAAAATCTTTCATTCTAAGTCAAACAAGTATTTTGGAGTGATATTGTTGACAATATTGCAATATTTAAGATTTTGAAACAGAACTGTTTCCAACATTTTTCAGTCCCAAGTTTTCATTGTTTAATTTTAAGACCAAAAAATACTTATATTAAGGTAAACTACCCCTAAATGTTTCCAAGGACCTAAAATATAGGGACCAGAATTTTTCCCTGTCAGGGTGCGTGATCAGAAAAAAATCCTGTCCCTTGTCATGTGACGGGGAACTGAGGTGGCCTACCTAGAGGGTTGAAGCCAACAGAGCCGACTCTAGGAAAGTAGGACCCAGCACCTCTGCACCTTGGAATCCTGCAGGGTCCACTCCAGGATGCTCGAGTTCTGTCTGACCCAGTCCCAGTTCCGCATGCAGCCATCCAGAGGAGTGTTCAGCTAGACAGACAGACAGACAGACAGAGGAAATGGTATAGAAAAACAAGCCCCATGTGATTGCCCTTCACTACATAGCACTGCTCTTTCTTGTTTTTATTGTTTTTATTTGTCCATTGCAAAATAGTTTAATTCAGAGGGACAGTGGGTGCGTTCGAAGAACAGACACGTGCTGTTTGTGTAGGGTATAAAATACAATATTAAAATGATATGAACTACAGTTCATGCTCTCTCAGGAGTTGAACTCTGAGCTCTGCTTTGATCCTGTTGTTCTTATAATGGTGAGAAAGTTGGTGTCAGAAAACTGTCTCAGGCTGTGCGGTCCAGCTGGGAAAATCATTATTGGTGTTGGCAAGAGCACAGTGGTTATCATTGCACACAGATTAGAGAAGCAAATCTCACGTTATGAGAACCAGACAGATCCCTGGTTAACTCCCATCTCCACAGACAGTCTCACTATCTTTCATATACAGTGGGGGAAAAAAGTATTTAGTCAGCCACCAATTGTGCAAGTTCTCCCACTTAAAAAGATGAGAGAGGCCTGTAATTTTCATCATAGGTACACGTCAACTATGACAGACAAAATTAGATTTTTTTTCTCCAGAAAATCACATTGTAGGATTTTTTATGAATTTATTTGCAAATTATGGTGGAAAATAAGTATTTGGACACCTACAAACAAGCAAGATTTCTGGCTCTCACAGACCTGTAACTTCTTCTTTAAGAGGCTCCTCTGTCCTCCACTCGTTACCTGTATTAATGGCACCTGTTTGAACTTGTTATCAGTATAAAAGACACCTGTCCACAACCTCAAACAGTCACACTCCAAACTCCACTATGGCCAAGACCAAAGAGCTGTCAAAGGACACCAGAAACAAAATTGTAGACCTGCACCAGGCTGGGAAGACTGAATCTGCAATAGGTAAGCAGCTTGGTTTGAAGAAATCAACTGTGGGAGCAATTATTAGGAAATGGAAGACATACAAGACCACTGATAATCTCCCTCGATCTGGGGCTCCACGCAAGATCTCACCCTGTGGGGTCAAAATGATCACAAGAACGGTGAGCAAAAATCCCAGAACCACACAGGGGGACCTAGTGAATGACCTGCAGAGAGCTGGGACCAAAGTAACAAAGCCTACCATCAGTAACACACTACGCCGCCAGGGACTCAAATCCTGCAGTGCCAGACGTGTCCCCCTGCTTAAGCCAGTACATGTCCAGGCCCGTCTGAAGTTTGCTAGAGTGCATTTGGATGATCCAGAAGAGGATTGGGAGAATGTCATATGGTCAGATGAAACCAAAATATAACTTTTTGGTAAAAACTCAACTCGTCGTGTTTGGAGGACAAAGAATGCTGAGTTGCATCCAAATAACACCATACCTACTGTGAAGCATGGGGGTGGAAACATCATGCTTTGGGGCTGTTTTTCTGCAAAGGGACCAGGATGACTGATCCGTGTAAAGGAAAGAATGAATGGGGCCATGTATCGTGAGATTTTGAGTGAAAACCTCCTTCCATCAGCAAGGGCATTGAAGATGAAACGTGGCTGGGTCTTTCAGCATGACAATGATCCCAAATACACCGCCCGGGCAACGAAGGAGTGGCTTCGTAAGAAGCATTTCAAGGTCCTGGAGTGGCCTAGCCAGTCTCCAGATCTCAACCCCATAGAAAATCTTTGGAGGGAGTTGAAAGTCCGTGTTGCCCAGCGACAGCCCCAAAACATCACTGCTCTAGAGGAGATCTGCATGGAGGAATGGGCCAAAATACCAGCAACAGTGTGTGAAAACCTTGTGAAGACTTACAGAAAAAACGTTTGACCTGTGTCATTGCCAACAAAGGGTATATAACAAAGTATTGAGAAACTTTTGTTATTGACCAAATACTTATTTTCCACCATAATTTGCAAATAAATTCATTAAAAATCCTACAATGTGATTTTCTGTTGAAAAAAAATCAAATTTTGTCTGTCATAGTTGACGTGTACCTATGATGAAAATTACAGGCCACTCTCATCTTTTTAAGTGGGAGAACTTGCACAATTGGTGGCTGACTAAATACTTTTTTCCCCCACTGTAGTTAGTGTCCAACTAGCAAGGCTTCAATGTTCTACCCTATGCCCTTCCTCTTCTGCAACCCAGGCTGTCCCAAATGGCACCCTATTCCATTTATAGGTCAAAAGTAGTACACTACATAGGGAATAGGGTGTAATTTGGGAAGCAACCCCAGTGTACTTATTACAATGGTTCCCAAGCCCTCTGCAGACACACATTTTCCTCCAAAAACCTCTCTTCACATTTGACAACTACCCCTTCACTCTCTCTCTTAATGTCCCACCACACTCCCACCCCATCTGCAACCCTACGTTTTTATTACTATTGCTCCTAACCATGGAATGTAAAGGTCCTAACCTTTACTGTGCAGACCCAAACTCCCTTCAAAAACCTCTCACAACATGCTAGCACTACCCCGCCCTTCTACACCTTTATTATCTCTCACCCCCACCTCCAGCCTGTCTGTAACCCTGCTGTGTCCCTGTTATGTCCTAACACCTCTCCAGACACACATTCCTTCCCATGGGTCCTCTCACATGCTCCCATTCTACTCCCTGTCAGTCAGGTGGGGGGTAACAAGACTTAGACTCACCCCCAGGGTAACTCGGCTATCTGGGATCAGGTCTCTGATGGAGATTCTCAGGACGCCGTTGCCTATCTCAGCTCTCACATTGGTATTTGATCACTAATACATAGCCCATGTGGGTATTATATTGTATTGACATTGTTATTACATGGCCCACATGGTTATTACACTGCTATTGCATGGCTATCACAGGTAACTGACAAAATAATGGAAACACTTGACTAAATGAGAGATATAAAGTATATTGAAAGCAGTTGCTTCCACACAGGTGTGGTTCCTGAGTTAATTAAGCAATTAACATCCCATCATGCATAAAAATGCTGGGCAGGCCATTATTTTGGCTACCATGGCTATGCCTCCATAGGATGACAATGCCCCCATCCACAGGGCACCAATGGTCACTGAATGGTTTGATGAGCATGAAAACAATGTAAACCATATGCCATGGCTGTCTCAGTCACCAGATCTCAACCCAATAGCAGAGGTGCATAAAGATGGCGGCCCCCATGCACTTACCACAAATATCTCTTATTGTACATTATCCATTTCTCTTTTTCTTGTGTGTTCATTAGCACAGTAAACATGATCCCAATTTTAGTTTCAAGACGCTGGCAATCAGAAAAAATGAAAAAGTAGATTGTGCTGATTTATTGGCACATTGAACAATATTTGCGCGCCATAGTTTAAAAACTCAGTGGATAGTGAATTCTGACATCAGCACGTTCGCCATTGAACACTTATGGGAAGATGCTGGAGCGCGCCAGAGACAGCGTTTTCCACCACAATCAACAAAACACCAAATTATGGAATTTCTCGTGGAAGAATGGTGTCACATCCCTCCAATAGAGTTCCAAACACATGTAGAATCTATGCCAAGGTGCATTGAAGCTGTCGTGGTGGTCCTACACCCTATTAAGACACTTTATGTTGGTGTTTCCTTTATTTTGTCAGTTACCTGTACATTATCCACATGGTAATTATGTTATTATGGTTATAACATAGCCTACTGTCACAAAGTCATTTAGAGGATACGGTTCAGGACCTCACCTTTTTCCACTCCCCGTCACTGATCTTGGGCCCAGAGGTGACGAGGATCTGTCTGTCCCCGCGGCTCGTCTGGATGCTCAGGTTCCCACGGACCACCGCCAGCAGGAAGTAGTTCTGCTGCCCGCCCATGTCCCAGAAGAATATCACCCCCTACGGGTCCAGAGTATGCAGCTCAAACTCAAAGCTACAGATGGACAGACAGAGACAGACATGTCAAAACACAGTAATCATCATAACAACGTTGCATCTTATTGAGTTATACATTGAGTGTACAAAAAACTGCTCTTTCCAAGACATAGACTGACCAGGTGAATCCATGTGAAAGCTTTGATCCTTTATTGATGTAACTTGTTAAATCCACTTCAATCCGTGTAGATGAAAGGGAGGAGACAGGTTAAAGAAGGATTTCTATGTCTTGAGACAATTGAGACATGGATTGTGTTAAGGTGTTCTTAATTTTTTGGACACTCAGTGTATGTAAATGAGAGACTATGTGGGACCTGGTTCAGTCAGTGTGGTTCAGCCGGATGTGCCCTGGCTGGTTAAACGTTTTGAAAGGGGAGTGCTCAGTGGTGTCATGATCTCTATAGCCTACCTGGTCAACTCTGTGACCTTGTAGTCCAGAATGGGGACATTCCCCACAAAGCTCTTCCCAGTGTAGAGGAGTTGTGAGGATCTGGACTCGACAAAAGACTAGCATTCCGGTGATGGCTATGGGGTTAAAACAACACAAAAATACTGTTCATGTAGGCAAAAACTGTGATGATAGGAAAGCTAGCTAAACCAACATGAGTGACATTTAAATAACCAAACAATTTCTAACAATTGCTGCACTAATTAGATGGAGGAAAAAACATGTGCATGTGTATGTGTTTGTGTACTCACAGTAACTGTGTTAGCAGGGTTGGGTAGGTTAGTTTATTAATGTAATCCGTTATGGTTACTAGTTACCTGTCCAAAAATCAGTAACCTAATGTTTAGATTACCCAAATTTAGTAATGTAATCTGATTACTTTGTTACTTTTGTATTACTTTCCCCTTAAGAGGCATTAGAAGACAAAAAAGATCCATCAAACGCATTTGGTGTGTCATCCTAGTGGTCTCTGATTTGTGGTCTGACTCGCTCAGGTGGAACAAACTTAAACTTGCACCCTTTTTCAATGCTGAATTGAATGTCATTGAGAAATCAGAAAAGCGTCACGTATTTTTTCGCAAACATCCTTTCTGAATTTAGAAGTAATCCAAGAAGTAATCATCTACTTTTTCAAAAGTATCTGTAATCTGATTAAAATATTTTTGCTGGTAACGTAACTGATTCCGTTTTGTAATCAGATTACATGCAATCAGTTACTCCCCAACCCTGTATGTTAGAGAGTAGAACCATATAGTAAAAGAACGTCATTGTTTCGCCTCTTACCTCGTATCCGTTAAAGTGTTGGATGAACCCACATCCCTAGGGTCAGCAGTGCCACCACAAACCTCTTCAATGCAAACATAATCTACTTCCGTCTACTCCTTTTCACTGTCCTTTGGGGTGCTTGATTCTCTTAACCAGACGTTCCTTGTGGGGTTTATGCTATATGCTCTTGTCTCAAGTCCGATTCGTCTGGCCCTCTAAGCTATGTATTGGGCTGGAGCATCAGCTGACGAGACAAGAGGTACAGAGAGGCTGAGAAGTCTTGAGAAATTGGTCTCTTTCCCAGAGTTTCGCAAACCTGGCCATGGCAGACACAACAGCAGATAAGGATGGAGATGAGCCAACAAAATAAACCATGATGGGGAGGTCAATGTCTGGGTCAAGGAGGTGTGTGTGTGTGTTTGTGTGTGTTAGATAGTGTCCAAACTACAGAGATGCTATTATGTAATTCTTTGGTCCAAACACAGAGAGGGAACACTGTCACTTTTTTAAGTAATTGCGCTTGGCAAGTTCAATTTTAAAAAGCACTTGAATCTCAACGGTCTATTTAACAAATTGGTTTGGCTGACAGAAAAAGGATGGCTCAGTAGAAACATGAAGTCATTTCCAAATCCATAAGTCATGCTGTGGCATCATAAAGAGATTTGTTCTACATGTTTTTTATATGACATGCTTCCTTTCATTTGAAAAGCAAGACTGGTATCAATCTGCAGGGGCAGGGTCGACTGTGTAAACTGCAGGTGGATATTGAGAAGTCTCACACTATGTGGTCGACATCTAAGTAACACATCAAAGCAATGTCTGATAATATGGACGAAACAAATGAAAAAACGTAGCCAGCATATGTTCTGACTTAAATCTTCGGACTTAAAGTCAGTCAGTTCCAACTTTGTTGTGTAAAGAGAATGGTCTGATGAAAGAACGGTCTTTGTCTTCACATAGATAAATGTATTAAGATGTACTTTTTGGTCACGGAAGTTATCAAAAGTGAGAGTCCAATATGTGCCTTCAGGAGAATGCAGCTGGTGCATGAAAAAGGTACCAGTGCTAAAGAGTAACTTATGCTGTTGTGCACATGGGCAGTCCTCGGTTAAGAGGACAGGGGAGGCGGGCTGTCACACTATTCCTCCTCTCGCCCTCTTCTTCTTAATCTACAGCAGGGCCATCCAAAGTGGGGCCTACGGGCCAAACATGGCCCCCGACAAAATTTGATTTGGCTTGCCAGTCTTCCAGAATGATCTTATATATTGATAAACAATGTTTTTTTAGGGGTTTCCAAGCCCAAAAATGTGGGCACCCCTGATCTACACACTGATTTATGAATGTACATTACAGTATATCCAAAAGCTAGAGAAAATCTAGGGGAAGAGATTTAAATCCAACATGCCACAGATGTTCTTCAAGTCATTCTTACTGAGACGAGTCCACTGAAGTGACATCAGAGGCAATTACTGGGAAGGAAAAAATAGCTTTAATGGTTTGCGGATGATTAGTTGTTCCATGTGAAGTGCTGCCAATAGTAAACCCATTTCCCAAACTGAATTAAACTGTTTATACATCTCAGAGTTCTGTACAACTGTTGGCTGGTTGACTCCACAGCTCTCAAACGGTCTCATGAAAAGGATAGCAGGTTAGCATTTTTCGTAATGAATCTAGTTCTGCAGGCAGCTCTGCAGAGTGGTCACTAGCTGTCACAGCCACAAAGTCATAAAATCTGATTTTAAACCAAACCTTAACCACACTGCTAACCCAAATGCGGAACCCCAAGGTTAAACTAAGCCCAAAAACCTCATTTTTGTTTTCATTTATTTTTACAATAAAGTCAATTTTGACTTTGCAGCTGGCCCATCTAGCGGAAATAGCTCAGTTCTGCCTCCAGAACAAGACTCATCCCAATAAACGGCAACCTGTTAAATAATTGAGCCCCTTCTTGTGTTCTCCCCCCAATGTCTCTATAGCTTGGTTCCAGATATATTTGTGCCATCTTACCAACTCCAATGGCAAGGTGCCACAAACAGATCTGGGACCAGGCTAATGTTTCTACTCTCCTCCGCCTTCCCTTGAGCTGACATTTAGTAAAGACCACACACCTGAAGTGAAAGGTTTGGCAACATGTTTATTGTAAATTATTTCAAATGAACAAATAAAAAAAACAGGATATAAGATTTGACTTTCTGGTTGTGGAAAATAATCTACAATAATTCAAAATGTTTAAATAACAAAAGCAACAACACAAATATGTATGCAATGATAGGTTTACAGGGGTGAAATATGAAAATAACCGATTCTCTTTGCAATGATTGATTTTAACATTCAAAAGACTGCTGAAGATATCATGGCGATGACTTCACATGAAGGCCTGTCGAGGGATCGACTGTTAACCATCACTCGACATCCCATGTTTTGTAAAATTATCAAACTTTAAAATGACTGGGCTACACACACAGAGATAACCATGTAAGACATGTTTCTGATTTAAGTTACACGTTCCCTGTTGACTGGTAACAGTGTCCCAGTGCCACTTGTACCTATACTGTGATCAAAGCAACAAAACCCCTAGAACATACAGTACCATCCCATCTGACCTGTACATTGTACAATTGTGTCAACCCAAGTTCCCTTTGGGGGTGGGTGGGTTAGTAAAGGCCTGTTTCTCATGGCTCAAAAAAAAAAAAAAGGTTCTGACAACGTTAAAGATACATCATGACAAAACATTTGTCAGAGGTAAGGTGAGGAGATGATGTGGTGATTGAAGATTCCCTTATGATTTAAAAACGTTTGAGATTGGTGAAAAAAAACCAATGAACCAACAAGCTCACTCGTGATGACATCTTTACCTACACGTTAGAATAGGCCGACAAAGGACAAGAACCATGAGGCCAAGAGCCTTCAGCAAAACCACTGACAAAGTCAGGTGGAACCTAACCTGGGTCGTCCTCATTAGGCACCAAACGCAAGAAAACAGACGAACAGCGCTCATTTTCTTTTTCCATTGCAAAAAGTTTTTAAACGTTTTCTGCTGTGTGCTCTAATGAACACGACCCTGGTGTTCCAGACAACGTTCAATTCTGTAACGTTGCATAAGCTATAGACGTAGACTCCGCAGCACACTACCATACATTAGACTCTCTGTGACATGAAGAAAAGCAGCCAGCTTCCTAGTACCACTGAAGACAAAGAAGAAGGTGCCGTAACACACCAACACAGATTTTTTTGCAGTGTTAAAAAAACATACATACAAAATGTACTCTAAAAAAATATACTGTTAAATACACAGGACATGCATGTTGGGAATATATGACAGACCAAAGACAAAACTTCTGACAGCAAATAGTTCCACAAGCCAAACAAAAATCTATACGAAACATGGTTGACCCTGTACTAACGGTGTTACACATTCCCTTCTTGTTGTTGATCCAAGTTCAAGTTTCTAGGCATCTGTTTTTACACACTGTCGTTCCTATTGGTTGACTGATAAAATTATAACTGTGTGACTATGTGGACTAATGCTGCGTTCATAACCAAGTGGGAAGGTGGTAGTATTATTTCCTACAACCGTAAATAACTTTTGGACATTAGATCGGTGGTCACTCATCAGAAATTAGACTTCCCTGACCTGGATCTTATATAAGCATTTCACTGGTCCTGCTTTAACACTGTGTGCGACAAATAAAAACGTTGATTTGATATTTACCACATACGACTGGGGAAAAAATCCACTTGAACACCCCTCCAACTCGTAATTACACTGAACAAAAATATAAACACAACATGTAAAGTGTTGGTCCCATGTTTCATGAGCTGAAATAAAAAAGCCAAGATATTTCCCATACACACAAAAATCTTATTTCTCTAAAATGTTGTTTACCTCCTTGTTACTGAGCATTTCTCCTTTGCCAAGATAATCCATCCACCTGACAGCTGTGGCATATCAAGAAGCTGATTAAACAGCATGATCATTACACAGGTGCACCTTGTGCTGGAGACAAAAGGCCACTCTAAATGTACAGTTTTATCACACAACACAATGCCACAGTTGTCTCAAATTTCAAGGGAGCATGCAATTGGCATGCTAACTGCAGGAATGACCCCCAGAGCTGTTGCCAGAGAAGTTAATGTTAATTTCTCTACCAAAACTTTGTTTTAGAGAATTTGGCAGTATGTCCAACTGGCCTCACAACCGCAGACCACGTGTAACCACGCCAGACTGCAGTTCGGCGTCAAACTGTGGGCAAATGCTCACCTTCGATGGCCACTGGCACGCTGGAGAAGTGTGCTCTTCATGGATGAATCCCGGTTTTCAACTGTACCGGGCAGATGGTAGACCGTGTGTATGGCGTCGTGTGGGTGAGCGGTTTGCTGATGTCAACGTGTGCCACAGGTGGCGGTGGGGTTCTGATATGGGCAGGCATAAGCTACAGACAACGAACACGATTGCATTTTATCGATGGGAATTTTAATGCACAGAGATAATGTAACGAAATTCTGAGACCCATTGTCGTGCCATTCATCCGCCTTCATCACCTAATGTTTCAGCATGATAATGCACGGCCCCATGTCGCAAGGATCTGTAGACAATTCCTGGAATCTGAAAATGCCCCATTTCTTCCATGGCCTGCATACTGACCAGACATGTCACCCATTGGGCATGTTTGGGATGCTCTGGATCGACGTGTACGACATGTTGTTCCAGTTCCCGCCAATATACAGAAACTTCGCACAGCCATTAAAGTGGAGTGGGACAACATTCCACAGGCCACATTCAACAGCCTGATCAACTCTATGCGAAGGAGATGTGTCGCACTGCATGAGGCAAATGGTGGTCACAGCAGATACTAACTTTCTTTTGAAGGTATCTGTGACCAACAGATGAATATCTGTATTCCCAGTCATGTGAAATCCATAGATTAGGGCCTAATGAATTTATTTCAATTGACTGATTTCCTTATATGAAATGTAACTCAGTAATATCTTTGAAATTGTTGCATGTTGCGTTTATGTTTTTGTTCAGTGTATTAGTGGGAAACTCGTCTATCATCCCTGAGCTTGACTACCAGTTAATGTGGGCCAGTGATGAGGATCTAAGGGGCTAGATTGGCAAGTGAAGGGGATTGTCTAGCTTGTTGTAATTGATGGAGATTGATATGCAGTGACATCACTACATGGTGAAGCGTTTGTCACAGACATTTCTAGACTACCAACCACGGTCCCTCTGCATTTCCAAAGAACATTAGAACGTTACTCAATCAAATCGTCTACATCGTTAAAAAGAGGAATAATGCAGTTACCAAAATGTACATGAACTAAATATATACTGCATTTCTCTCCATTTTCAAAAAGTCTGTATTCAAAATACATTTATACCCCTTTTTTTTTCTCAAGTCGATCCTACGAAATTATCGTCTTTGGTGTAAGAAAAATAGCTATTAAAATCTACAGGCTATAAACTTTATCGTACAGGAAGGGAAACGAGAACGTAAACGAGATCATTTAACTGATCGATATGGGGGGTATACTGATACCACGTATCTAAAATGATGCCATCTGGAATATTCCAAATATGTAAAGTGCTTCGGCATTATTCCCTAACCCGAGGATGCGAGAGAGACTTTTACACACACACCCATTATGAAAAATAAGGCAGATTGATTTCATCCACTTAACTGTACTCTGAAACACCTACATTTGTTCAAAGCACAAAAGATAGGAGGGTAGAAGAGAGAATTCCCTTTTATAGAAAATGAGATAAACAAAGTCAGCTTGCTGTTTAGTCGTAAACGGACATCAAAACAGTGAAGCCCCAAGAGATTGTGAGAGCATCATCTTGATTGTTGACGATCGAGATTGAAAACATTGAGTGAATAAAAGGGGAGTATTTTAGCAGCCTATTCACATACACACACACACCAACTAATGATGTTGTCTGGTCTTCACCGAACTGTAGAAAAAAGGGAGGTTTCAATGACATGATTGAGTTTTGTTGTGCAAATCAAGTAGAAGACGAGAGCAAGCATATACTCTTCTGATTAGGGCAGTGGTGTGTGTGTGAGAACGAGAGAGGGATGGAGACAGACGGGGAGAGAGAGAATAAAAAACGACTACGGGTCTCCTCTTCTGAACCAATGAGAGCTTCTGGCCAGGGTCAGGTGACACTTTTAACTTCCTCTATTGGACCGTCCGTCCAGTCACACGGTGGTGGAGGGGGAAGGGGGGCAGAGCGCGACCTTGGGGGTATGCGTTCTTGGTCCTCGCGGAGGCGGGCAGCGTTCTAAACCAGTGCCAATCCCGATGGTGCCACTCTGGGGCTCCAGTGTAGAACTCAGGCCAGACAGACCCACCTAGACTGGTTAGGATGTCTTCCCAACTATCGGATTCTCTCTAGAAAGACACAGAAAAGCAAAGAGGGTAAATATTTACGTGGCTGTCTATGCATCTGTGTGAGTGTGTATCCATATGTGAATAAGTGAGTGTGAGTATATGAGTGTACACATATGCATGTATGTTTTTGAGAGTGTGTGTGTGTGTGTGTACTTACTGGCTGCCGTACTGCGCAGTGCCGCTGCGGGTGTCGTGTTCTCTCTGCAGCTCCTCCAGGATGTGTGTGATCTGCCGCACTGTGTGGAATGTCTCCTTGGAGTCCTGGATGGTGAACAGGGAGTAGTCGTCCTGCTCCCTCACAGGACCCTGGTACACAGCGATGCTGGCACATGCATCTGACCACAGGAGACATAGCCTGTGATGATGACCTCATGTATCTATCACACCAAGCTACTGTTGCCCGATTCACACTAAAGGGCCAAACCGAGCCAAGCCAATCAGAGCTGTACTGGGCTGGCCTGGTTAGTCATACACAATAGTTGCTGGAACGAGCTGGAAAGGACAATGTCAAAATAAAATATCCGAGTCGGCAGGGTACGGTTCAAGAGAAAATGCCTCATGCAATAAGCCACTATAGAAACAATCTACTGTGATAAGAATACTTTTTATATTAATTTATGTGAGAGTTGGGCGATTGACTGGTAGAATCCCACTTGCCTTCCATCTTCTGCAGCTTGGAGTAGCTGGAGGTGAGGAGGGAGAAGATTCTTTCCGTCTCGCGGTCACAGTCGATGTCCAGCTGCAGGTTAGCCAGCAAGGTACTGGGAAAGAAGATAGGGTCATGTTCATTAGGCACCAAATGGAAGAAAACCTGGAATTGTCCAATAACGCTTCCTGGAATTGTCCAATTTAGCTGCGGTGCTCCCTATTGAATAAGACTCAGGTGTCTGATACAAGTAGGCAGTGATTACGTTACGGTCAATTGCTTGGTTGAAGCAGCCGCTATCTCCTAGAAATTTGTGTCGATCTGAGAGGGAAGAATAGCACCAGTACAAGAAATATGGCGAAAATTCCACCTGACCGATCAGAGTGCAAGATAGAACTATGAACCATATAAAATGCTCTATGCTCAACTCTTAATAAGTTCTATAAATGAATATATGGGTGCTGTAGCCCAGGAGTAAATCAGATTTTGTTTAAATAACTCTTAAATAAATAATTACTTTATTTACAAGATTTATTTTTAGCCGTCACAATGTCTTGACTGAAAATAAATCAAATTAATACTTAATTTGCGAGTGCTGGCTGTCTTTTTCATACTATGAACCATCCATATATACAAACCTCTCTGATCTACATAAGCACGTAGGGCAGGGGCCCCAATTACATTCAGCGGTGGGTCGGGGGCCGGAACATAGTTATAAATCATTTGTACATTGTAAATTGACCGCAAGAGTCCCAAGAATAATTTCAAACCTTGATTACATTGAGATACATTCACATACAGTGAGCTCCATACAGTAAAAACTATGAGGTTAAAGTGCAGACTGTCAGCTTTAATTTGAGGGTATTTTCATCCATATAGGGTGAACCGTTTAGAAATTACAGCACTTTCTGTACATAGTCTCTATTTTAGGGGACAAAAAGTATTGGGACAAATTCACTTATACGTGTATTAAAGAAGCCATGTTATTTATGGCTCTGTAACTTTCTCACTCATCATTATTCACAATTCATACAGGATTATCCGTAATCATGGTAGCATCCACATTAATGTATTATATTCTTATTTACAATAAAAGTGACTCCAGAATGACACAATGCATTATTTACCATTCATTTTATATCAGGCACAAAATAAATCAGAAACAAAACCAAACCAAACAGCAAATGCATCCAACAAATATGTACAGTCACAAGCTTGATGTAGTCATTGTGTGCTATGAATATGGGACCAAAGGCTTAACATTTTAGTACTTTAACACACATAAGTGAATTTGTCTATAAATGTACATAGTCTCCCCTAAAATGGGGAGACTATGTACACAAAATGCTGTAATTTCTAAACGGTTCACCCGATATGGATGAAAATACCCTCAAATTAAAGCTGACAGTCTAACCTCAGTCATTGTATCATTTAAAATCCAAAGTGCTGGAGTACAGAGCCAAAACAAAAACAAAAAAATTAACTGTCCCAATACTTTTGGATTCAGGGGTGAGTACTCACGGTGTGCAGGGCTTGCAGCCCGGCTGGCTGTCGCTCAGGCTCCTGCAGCAGAGCCAGGCTCTGGACACATAGGCCGAGGGGTGGAAGGTGCCCAGGCGGTCCGGGTTACAGCGGCTCACTTGGCTCAGCACCTCCACCCACTCACTGGCCTCCACACAGTTCCCCGCCTGCACGTACAGCGGCTTCTCACTGTGGAGCACCTGGAACATCTAAAAAGGGGAGAGCAGAGAGGGGCTGTCAATAACGCATACATACATACACACACAAAATATCTGACAGGCTGTCAATATGGTGCAAATGAATTGCCCTTTGCGGACAATTTTTTATATTTTTTATTGAGTAACAAACACTCATAGTCCACATATGTATCTGTTCAAATTCAATGCGTAAACTCAAAGAACTTCCTTCACAACTTACACAGGAGGAGATTTTCCTGATCTGTTGACCTGACCAGGAAAACCTCTGGGCCCTTGCATTAGCCTATAGTATAAGTGTGCTTTACCATTTACTGGTCAGGTAGACGGCCAGTGAAAACTCCTGGCTCTAAACAGACAAAGACAGTCATGAGAGTCCTGCTTACATTTTTGCGGTTAAAGGCACTTTCGGCCAGTTTCTCCACAGCCCGGATATTCTTCACAGGGATAATGCAGAGTGCTTCTTTCCCTTGGAAAACAGAAAGAAAAAGAAACATAAATATACTCACACACAATGGACTCTTACCCGTATAAACTCAGCAAAAAAAGAAACGTCCCCTTTTCAGGACCCTGCCTTTCAAAGATAATTCGTAAAAATCCAAATAACTTTTTTTCCCCATGCTTGTTCAATGAACCATAAACAATTAATGAACATGCACCTGTGGAACGGTCGTTAAGACACTAACAGCTTACAGATGGCAGGCAATTAAGGTAACAGTTATGAAAACTTAGGACACTAAAGAGGCCTTTCTACTGACTCTGAAAAACACCAAAAGAAAGATGCCCAGGGTCCCTGCTCATCTGCGTGAACGTGCATTAGGCATGCTGCAAGGAGGCATGAGGACTGCACATGTGGCCAGGGCAATAAATTGCAATGTCCGTACTGTGAGACGCCTAAGACAGTGCTACAGGGAGACAGGATCGGTACACCTGCACATCACACCTGCGGGACAGGTACAGGATGGCAACAACAACTGCCCGAGTTACACCATGAACGCACAATCCCTCCATCAGTGCTCAGACTGCCCGCAATAGGCTGAGAGAGGCTGGACTGAGGGCTTGTAGGCCTGTTGTAAGGCAGGTCATCACCAGACATCACCGGCAACAATGTCGCCTATGGGCACAAACCCACCGTCGCTGTACCAGACAGGACTGGCAAAAAGTGCTCTTCACTGACGAGTCGCGGTTTTGTCTCACCAGGGGTGATGGTCGGATTCTAGTTTTTCGTAGAAGGAATGAGCGTTACACCGAGGCCTGTACTCTGGAGCGGGATTGATTTGGAGGTGGAGGGTCCGTCATGGTCTGGGGCGGTGTGTCATAGCATCATCGGACTGAGCTTGTTGTCATTGCAGGCAATCTCAACGCTGTGCGTTACAGGGAAGACATCCTCCTCCCTCATGTGGTACCCTTCCTGCAGGCTCATCCTGACATGACCCTCCAGCATGACAATGCCACCAGCCATACTGCAAGACAGGAATGTCAGTGTTCTACCATGGCCAGCGAAGAGCCCGGATCTCAATCCCATTGAGCACGTCTGGGACCTGTTGGATCGGAGGGTGAGGGCTAGGGCCATTCCCCCCAGAAATGTCCGGGAACTTGCAGGTGCCTTGGTGGAAGAGTGGGGTAACATCTCACAGCAAGAACGGGCAAATCTGGTGCAGTCCATGAGGAGGAGATGCACTGCAGTACTTAATGCAGCTGGTGGCCACACCAGATACTGACTGTTACTTTTGATTTTGACCCCCTCTTTGTTCAGTGACACATTATTCCATTTATGTTAGTCACATGTATGTGGAACTTGTTCAGTTTATGTCTCAGTTGTTGAATCTTGTTATGGTCATACAAATATTTACACATGTTAAGTTTGCTGAAAATAAACGCAGTTGACAGTGAGAGGACAATTCTTTTTTTGCTGAGTTTATAAATAGGCTACTGTAACATGTTACAAGGATAGTAGCTAGTCTCAACAACAGCAGGAATCCTGGAAAAGTTCCCGGAAATGTGCAACCCTAGCACCCATGACTTGGTCAAGCTGCATCACTAGGAGGAACATTGAGGTCTTACACCATGTGATCCCTGACTACTAGAAGACGTGCAGCATTACACTTCACACAACAAAAATACAAATAGAGAACATTCTTTAAGTCAATAGACAACCATTTCCATCGCTGTGTCTGGCAATAGCCGGGCCAAAACACACAAACACATACCATATACAGTTATAAAAGCAGTCTCTGTATCAGCTCCTGCTATTGGTCTCTCTTCAGTCTCCATCGATCAGCTCACACTCCTTCCCCTTATCTAGCTGATAGAGTGAAGCGTCTGATCCACTGATGATACTTCACTACACACACACGCACACAAACTCCCCCCTTCCTTTTCTCTCCCTTGCATTTGTGAATCCATGTGCATTGGGTGTGTGATGAATATTGCCATATCAATCTCTTATTTAAGAGGGAGCTCCTTTCCCTGCCTGCCACCATCCCCTTCCTCCTCCGCATTTCCAGTCCGAGGGACCCCCTGACCCCGCCCCTCATACCTCCAGCACCATCTGATTCTCTGCATATTTCCTGCCTTCCAGTTCAGTCTCACACACAAACGCACACACACACAGTCTTCAGTTAATCTCAGGACAGCAGGCTACAAATCACTTAAGTTGTAAACACAAAGCTTCACTACTCTGGCTACGTTCTTGCATTCTGATACATTACATTCATGTTGTTCCGCTCTCTCTGAGTTGTTTCCAATACCCAACAGGAGACCCAAATCTAGAGCAGAGCTAGACTCCATCACTCATCTAAATCCCAATTAGAAATGTACTTTATTACAATGCGATGTTCAAGCTGCTGCGTTGTTGCCAGAAGCATTATATGTTTATGCAATCAGATGCAGATCGGAACATTCTGATCTATTGTTCTCATCACAACTTTACTGAAAACCGCCTGCCAATATTATGAGAAAAACATGGGAGAATAATCCCACACACGCTACTAGTCTGAAAGTGAACCCAGACACACTTTAGCCTAGGGTGACACACAGCTAGCCTGCGTCCCAAATGGCACCCTCATCCCTACATAGTGCACACTACTTTTGACCAGAGCCCTATGGAATTGGTTGCCATTTGAGACGTAGTCCTAGTGGTTAGTTCCATCAGCAGGGATCATCATGATAATGCTCAGACCAAACCATCATGATGCCTGGACACTCGACCCCTGTCCGTCTCCCTTCCATTAGAAATTGAAACCCATACTCAAGTTATGAGTCACATTAAACACTCACAGCAACATGAGCCTTTCAAACCTTTTTGGCACCAAATTCCCAAGCCCCGAAAACAGCACCCCTAGAGCCCAAGTGGTGCCTGCTGTCATGGTGCTTCAGCTGCACCGCCCAAACCCTGTTATTGTCACTGTCTATTTAGAGTGACACCAACCAAGAGGCCCCATCAGTCTGCCTGTTCTGCTGTAGGAGAGTCAGCATTGTAGTGGCAGGGCACAGCTCCAGAGACCACTCAATCACATGAACACACACACATTAAAAAAACAAACACACAGACGAACGTGAACGTGCATGCATTGGGTAACAACATCTATGCTCTGGCTCCCGAGTGGCGCAGTGGTCTAAGGCACTGCATCGCAGTGCTAGCTGTGCCACTAGAGATCCTAGTTCGAATCCAGGCTCTGTCGTAGCCGGCCGCGACCGGGAGACCCATGGGGCGGCGCGCAATTGGCCCAGCGTCGTCCAGGGTAGGGGAGGGAATGGCCGGCAGGGATGTAGCTCAGTTGATAGAGCATGGCGTTTGCAACGCCAGGGTTGTGGGTTCGATTCCCACAGGGGGTATGAAAAAAAAATATATATAATAATAATGTGACTAACTGTAAGTCGCTCTGGATAAGAGCGTCTGCTAAATGACGTAAATGTAAATATGCTTATCTAAGGCATGAGATTGTGGAGGAATGAGGGAGAAGTGAAGTGAGAGGGAGAGTATGTTGTGGGAGTATAGAATTCAATCTCCCAAACCTACACACCCAATGCCAAAGCATGATAAATTAACATCATGAAGTTGGCTCCTTCACCAAATATGTACTTTGATGATTATTAAAATAGATGTTGTTTAAAATTGCAGCTATTCACATGCCCCACGTTTCTTATCAAATCCCTATGGAATTCAAGATAGATGCACTTTCCACTTTCCAATAAAAACAAAATTAATGGATAATTAAATGTGTCCAGACTGACCATTGACACAGCAGTGAAGGGGGGTGGGGTTGTGGGCAGTTGGGAGCACACTCAGGAGACCGGGACCCAAATAAAAACAATTGGATCTAGAGAGGATTCTTTCTTCAAAGAGTTAATGTGCGTTTACATCCAAGATTTGAGAAAGAGTGAGACAAGGAGTAGGAGAAGGAGTGTCTGGAACTGTAGGGCCCATTGCCCTGAGTCGAAGCCGGGATTTACATAAACAAAGTTTCAAAGATGGAGTAAACCGACAGACACACAAACAAGCAAAGAAACGGTAACATTCACAAACTGACAAACATACAGTTGCAAGCACAGATACACACGTGTAGGAAGGCCCAACCTCTGACCTCACTTTTATCCAGTAGCGGTGCGTTGGTAAAATCACTGGGGAAGCCAAGCCACCCCCCCGAACCACTAAACAACCATTGATTTAGAACCACAGAGAGTTACCGCAAGTCGCAAAGAAAACAGGAGCTGCCTCCACTATTCCAGCACCATTTCAACATCATCAAATCACCTCTGCTTAGTCTAATACAGTGACAACTAAAAGATACCAAAAACAATTTAGTCCAATCAATGTAAGCTAAATATGATGTGACTGTCCATGGTTCTGATTTCTGCAAGTAGAAAAACATGTTGACTCACCCTACTTGTAGAGAAATGCCAATGGTATCCTCCTCTCTTTCATGTTGACGAAATGGTCTATCACGCTGTCATACAGTACACGCTTGTATTTTTTGTTGTCCTAGGCTACCTGGCTAAAATGCTTGCTCGCTAGCCTAACTTCCATTCATGGGCAACGTTAGCTAGTTAACATTAGCTAGCATCTAGCTACATATTGAACTTCCATCCTCTCAGGCCAAGGGCACAACAATGTATGAATGAATGATTGCAACAGAATTGCCGCTATACGGAGAATTAAGTAAAACCACAAATCCAAATCCCCATCTCCATCCATGGCTAATTTAGGAAAGGGACAATTTTAGCTAGCCACCGGAGGACAACAATACAACGAGATGCAACAATTCAAGATGTTTCTGTCAATGACGTACACTACCGTTCAAAAGCTTGGGGTCACTTAGAAATGTCCTTGTTTTCGAAAGAAAAGCAATTTTTTTGTCCATTAAAATAACATCAAATTGATCAGAAATACAGTTTAGACATTGTTAATGTAGTAAATGGATATTGTAGCTGGAAACGGCTGATTTTTAATATCTACATAGGCGTACAG